ATGGTCATAAAACTACATTGTAACATATCAGAGGCCCTGACCAATGTTTTTGCTCTATTGCCTAAGCCTGGGGGCCCCCATTTAGGTTGGGGCCCCCGGGTTGTCACGGTCTGAGCCCATAGTAGTTACGCCACTGGTTTCCACAAACAATAGTATTATATATTTTATCGCCATGCAAACCTACAAAGAACTTATAACAGACATGGAGTTCACTGGGTAAATGGTGTAAACTGTTTAATGGCGCTATTTAATTTGTTGCGAGGGTCGCGACCAGGTCAAGGTAGCCCATGTAACGGAGTGTCTGTCTCCACACTTTATTATAACTAGTTAGCAAGCAGGACACAATAGAGACGACATTTTCAGACTACTTTAGCCTTCTCCGCAGGCACCTCCAGGAAATCGGGTGGATATTATAAACTACCCATTTGCAGGCTATAACCCATAGAGATACCTGCGGATGAGGCTAAGACTATTTCACATCAGTGACCATGACTTTGTCACGACAGTTGCGATCGAATGGATGCCAGGCTTTACCTGAAGATTAGGGGGTCGCACAGTAAAAATTGATGAAATGTTATCATTGGAAATAAACGTCCACGTTAGTAGTTACCTTATTGCCCATACGCACTGCTCATGATTGAGGAGGGGGATAGTGCAAGCCATATAAAGACCACTGGATGTCAACTCGTACAACGGATAGCCTATAGAATGCAAATCAGTGAGATAATATATACTGTATATAGACACGTTGCGTGGTTGGAGATTGGTAAGTGGATGTGCCTCTAACCTCTGAAATCCGGGTGCGATCACTGCAATATACAGTTATCCTATCTTTATTTCCCTTCAGTTGCACTTGAGAAAAAGTGCTTCCACTTTTACCCTGCCAAACACTGCAGGTTTTCCCCGGGTTCTCCAATATTTTTCCTGTACTACCGTAAGTTACCAACACTAGATGACTAAGGGATGGCTCTTATTGTACCTCTGAGGAAAGCAATTTAGGCAGATCAGTGATAGAACTAATATAACCAAGAATATAAATTAGTACGTTCAGGTTTACAATCAGTACAACGGATATATTAAATCATTTTGACAAACCTGACGATGAACTATTGAGACAAGAGGTTTCCCCATAATGAACATCGCCACTAAGATAAATGACCTAGACAGTACAGAAAAGTTAATTTATACGTATCATTTGCACATCCAATTATTGCCCACTTACATAGCAACTTTCGTTCGTCCCCCTATCTTAACATTGGAAAGATTTTAAAACTCACTGGACTAAGCGCCTGTTTATATGCAGGGTTGGTGACCGTACGAGTTATTGCTTTCCCTCGGTTGCTGCATTCCAATGAATGTTGTGGCCTTCTACGTTGTTTGGTTGTATCAGATAGAGCAAATTAAAAATAATTTTCCTATTTGGACAAACCTACCTACAAACTCTTACATGACTCACGCAAAAAAGAAAAAAAAAAGAAAAACCTGTGTTATCCTAGTCTGTGCACAGACTGTGGTGGAAGGAAAACCCCCCGGTGGTGGAAGGAAAACAACCAGGGGGGAGGGATGCAGTCTTCGAGCAGACTATAGTCACTAGTGTTATCCTATCTACTTAGCAAGATTATCTTAAAGTTTCTCTCTGGACATGATCAACGCTTTATGCATGCGTCACTCTTTTATGAAGCTAGAAAAAATGTGACACTCCTAACAACTTCGTCCTTTAATTGTTCCATGCATGTAACGACATGCAGTTGCTATTCCAGCGGGGAGGGGGATATGATCAGATGATTGTAGGCATGTGAAAAAGTATCCCATCATGCATCGCTCTTGTCTTTGACACCTCATGATACCATTAAGCATTGCGGTGCTGCCATGCAGCCACTGGTCTACATGTATCATTGATGTGTGCCAAATTAAAATTACCTTGTTGCGATTTCGTGTCAGCCAAACCAGTCGATCATAACTGTTCGGGCAATCGTCCCAATTTTGTAGTCCACGTATTGCATTTGGCAAAATCTGATGAGCAACATGACGATCAAGTCAAAACATTAGTTTGAACGAGTGTATATAAATCGTAGAGTGAAGTAGTTTCGCTTAATCTTCATTCCTTTTGTATTGTGTACCGCAATTGTATAAAACGTAAATTTTCACCTGTATTCCACTTGTAACAATTGTAAGAGCGACCAGCGTTTGATCATCTAACTGTTCTTCGAGCCATTTCCATTGTTCGTTTCCCAGCAAATCACATTTTGTACCAAACACAGCAAAGGATCGCACGTCTAGCATAACAAGCTACGGAAAAGAAAGTTTTTTACTTAACAGTACATGCATGTAAGTTACGTTAGAAATGTTAGATGAAATGTTAGAAATGTTTGTTGCCAAGGGAAACTACATTGTCAACAATTAAGTACACACTATGTTTTCTAGTTGTCGATAACAAGTTGGCAGTCGATAAGAAATAGTTGTTGACAACTAAATTGCTAGTATGCGAATGGAGGCCAAGAGTACCACGACCCTACCACAGTTCTGACTGAGGCAGTTGAGGTTGATAGGGGTATATCATATGAGATAAAAGTAAATTTAAGTTTTAAACTTTGTGAACAATTTTGCTTGAAACGCTTGCCGAACTATACTGGCAGGGCCAGATTAACGTTTCGCGGGACCTGTGACCAGGGCGCTTATATGCAGGGTGTATAAAAAAGGTAATCCAACTTTAGCATGCCATTTCGCGTTAGGCCCGTTTTATACGTCGAATTTTGGTCGCGTCGAATGCAAGTAAGACAATAGATGAGATTATAAACCACATTAAGCTTCATTATCTATTGTTTGAATTGCATTCGACGCGATCGAAATTCGACGTATAAAACGGGCCTTAATTGAGGGCCCCTATACCTCTTCACAATATGCTTTCACGTAAAAATATTTTGCCTTTTCACGAGTCACGGATTAAGAAAATCATCGATCACGTTTCACGGCTAAGTAAAATAAGCCCTTCACGCTTCACGCAAAACGTATAGGGGGCCCGATCACGTTTCACGGCTAAGTAAAATAAGCCCTTCACGCTTCACGCAAAAAGTATAGGGGCCCCTCTTAATTACTTGGTGCATGAATGTATTTTTTCATAATCATAAAGATCAAGCCTTTAGCTGTAGGATGACAAGTTTTTCATCCAATATGGAGAAAAAGTGAACAAACAGAGTCCGATAAAAAATGCCTTGTCGAAACAGACGAAATTGCATATTTTCACCGTTGAGAATTGGGATTTGGATTTAAAACTACAGTGTGTCCCAAAAAAAACAAACTATTTAAAATAACGTATTGTTAGAATTTGAATGTCTTAGCACTAAGCTGAACGCAAAGATGCGTAAAATACTGACAAGGTGCATATGTTATAATTGTAAAATTCATGAATAATTAATAAAGCCACAAACAAATCACGATGAGGCAGGGACGTGCTGGCGTCTTAAAAAAGACAACGGATAAGCAACGTCTGATGGGCCCAGTGAACGATGGCTCGACATTAACAATTTTTCCGGATACACCAAAAAATTTCCGCACATATCGTACTTTTCCCTGGGAATTGAAATCGAATTGCTAATAGATCATATTACTGTTGTTTATTTAATAATAAATGCATAAATTTTGCTTTATACACTCGCGTGTGCACTAATTTTGACAGTTGTGCTATTTTAAATTCCCAGGCGCCTAAAATCTTTTGTCTTCAAAACAATGCCGATTTCTTGGGAAATTCCGAGGTTGCGTTTTTCTTGATACACCCTGTACAGTGTGTATAAAAAAAACCTGAAACCTTTCAAATTCAAATTAGCTATAACGTATTGTAGTAATTTGACAGCTCTAATTGCTTTGAATTAATGGTTGGGCAAGAACACAAGGCCTTGTACTCATGGGACGAAACTCAAAGAAATAAAAATTAGAAAATTTAAAAGTTTTTAAGAGTTTTGTCCCATGAGTACAAGACCTTGTGTTCTTACCCAACCATTAATTCAAAGCAATTAGAGCTGTCAAATTACTACAAACGTTATAGCTAATTTGAGTTTGAAAGGGTTCAGTTTTTTTTATACACCCTGTACAGGGTGAGTAAAAAAAACTGATACCTTCGCGGCTAAGTTGAATAACAAAGGTGTCAGTTTTTTTTACTCACCCTGTATGTATGTACCAAAAAAATGTACACCCTTTCAAATTCAAATTAGCCATTCCGAAGTTGATGAGTGGACTGGGGACGAGTGTTAAAAAGTGCCCAAATTAAGAAATGAACCAAATCACTAAAAAGACCACCTCAAAATTAGTAAGTATACAAAGTTTAAAGACGTTTACATGAATACCCTTCGAATAATAAGCTTTCGAAAATTGTGAAATTACTGATAAAAAGATTGTTTGTCCCAAAAACGAAAATTACAATACATTTCATAGTAAATATCGCGATTTTCGAAAGCTTATTATTCGAAGGGTATTAATATAAACGTCTTCAAACTTTGTATACTTACTAATTTTGAGGTGGTCTTTTTAGTTATTTGGTCCATTTCTTAATTTGGGCATTTTTAACACTCGTACCCTGTCCACTCATCAACTTCTGAATGGCTAATTAACCGTAATCTATTGTAGTAATTTGACAGCCGTATAATTTCTCGTATTCATGAATGCGTGAAAACACAAGGTCTTCTGCACATGGGAATTTAGGATAATTTCTATTTGTATGAAAAAAAACACAACTCAAAGAAAAATGTTTAAATTAAGCATTATTCAAGTCTGCATAAGATATAAAATTTTAAATGGGCCAGTTTACTGCAGAGCAACGAATATTTAAAAGGTCATGGCTAATTTGAATTTGGAAGGGTGTACATTTTTTTGATACACCCTGTACAGGGTGAGTAAAAAAAAACTGACACCTTTGTTATTCAAATTAGCCACGAAGGTATCAGGTTTTTTTACTCACCCTCTATAATGGATGAAAAACGTGTCATTCAACAGCCAAAAGCCTTATCGGGTGGGGGGGTGAATAGGTTTTCGGATCGTCGGATTCCGCCGAAAAAATTGTTCGGATTTCGGATTTGGCGAATATTTTACACGGATTGCGGATTTTATTAATGCAGCGGTTGCGGATTTATCTAATATTTTGGCTCGGATTGTAGATTTTGCTTGCAATTTAGTTCGGATCCTGGATTGTGACTGCATAGTAGAGCTTTTAGAGGATCCAAATTTAGACAAGACCATTGTCGGACGGCGGATTTTGCTTCAAATTTGGGCGGATCGGCGGATTTGTATACCCCTAATCACCCCCCCCCCCCCTGATCTTTATGATTATGAAAAACTACGTTCATACGGCCGAGTACTGTAATTAACGCACGACGCCATGCTAAAGTTGGATTACCTTTCTTATACACCCTGTATATCAGCGCCCCGCCCCAGCGGGCAAAATGACGTTTATTCAACGTTGAATCAACGTCGGAAATGACCTTCCAGACGTTGGATAGACGTTGAAAAAGGGTTGACTATGCAAATTGAATCGACGTTACTGTTTCGACGTTGAAACAACGTTGAAATTGGGTTGCCAATCTCGTCAACCATAATTCAACGTTGAATCAACGTTGAAACAACGTTGAGATTACTTCACAAATCGACGTCGTACATTTAACCATGAATGAACGTTGATTCAACGTCTGTTGGCTGCTGTTGAACCAATGTTTTTAAAACAACGTCAGAGCAACGTAGATATTAGGTTGTCGACGTCGCAACCTTTTTTCTACCAAATTTCAACGTTGAAACAACGTCGTGTGCCCGGTGGGGCCTGTGACATATTAGGGACCTTTAGCTAGCAGGAGCGACGGCTATTAATACAATGAAATTTATGACAGTGTAGAAAGAAAATGCATAATTACAGTTGATTTCACGAAACTTTGGCCACGCCAATTGCGATGTTGGTTGGAATTTGGGAACTATAAACACGAGATCATCAAGTTGATTGGAACAGAGACGGATTTTCATATTTTCGTTCTGGGGGGTGGATAAATATCTGGGGGGTGCTGCTGCTTGCTTTGGCCGGGGCGTGGTAGCAACGCCCGGAAAGGCCAAGGAAAAAGTTTAACGGAATTTGTTTTCTAGGCCTGCATGGCGAGATCTGAGACCATAATATTGGTAATTTTACAAATTTAGTAGTAAGAATAATCAAATATGAAACTCTCAAATCAAAATATATATGATTTGCGGGAGTGCAAAAACTTTTGGGGGCGGTGCCAAATGCCTCTGGGGGGGGGGGTGCAAATCATTTCGGGGGGGGTGCGCCCCCCCCCCCCCCGCATCCCCCAGAAAATCCGTGCCTGGATTGGAAACCGGCCAATCAAATTCGGAAGTTTCGCATCAAATTATCGAAATTCGTTATGAAATTCCGAACCAAGTTCGCAAATTGCAAACGATTTTGGCGGTAAATTTTAAAAACTAAACGTATTGTATTAAACTTATTATAATTTTAAACCTGAAATTATTATTATTATGATATTATTTATTATTAAATGAATAAGTTTAATACAATAAATTTAGTTTTTAAAATTGACCGCCAAAATCGTTTGCAATTTGCGAACTTGGTTCTGAATTTCACAACGAATTTCGATAATTTGATGCGAAACTTCCGAATTTGATTGGCCGGTTTCCAATCAACTTGACGATCTCGTGTTTATAGTTCCCGAATTCCCAACCAATCTCGCAATTGGCGTGGCCAAAGTGTCGTGAAATCAACTGTAAAGGTCCCATGGGAGTTTTAGACGTCATCCTTGCTCGATCTGTTTACAACTGCAGCAAACCAAAGATTTTCACGTTTTGTACACAACGTCTGCCTTTCAAGCCGCGAGAAGTCGTCCTCGCCAAATTGGCTTAGTAGAAGTCTTCTCAACTATAAACCTCTGTCTTGACCTTCTTAAATTGCAATAAATTCATACAACGGATAATACAAGACATGTTGATCTTAAAGTTACTTATTCGAACGAGTTTATTTTGGCCGTCGTCGTCGCGTTGCCGTCACCTATTTGCTAAAGGTCCCTATTATGAGCGCGGGGCCCCTTGATACCCCCCCCCCTCCCCAACGACACTAAACGGCATCCTAAACACTGAATTCAGAAAGTTTCAAAATATACAAAACTATCCTTTTGTATTCCAAGCGATGAAAAGTTGCCTGTGTATTTACAAAAAAGGGAAATAAACATCAACAATTTGAACTAAAATTAGTATGTACGTGAAAGCATACATTTGATTAGTTGGTTTAAAAGTGCTCAAATAACAAAATGCCAAGATGACATAATTTTCGCTATTTTTTTATTCGAAGCGGTTACCCGACTTTAATATAGCATTTTTTGTGATTTTTTGACCCTCGACATTTAACAGTCTATTTAACCATCGATATTTTACCCTCGATATTTTACCGCCCTCGTCAATTGATCCTCGACACTCTACCAATAAACTCGAGTTGTATCTTGAGTGACACAATGAGTATCAGCAATAATACTCGACTGAAAGAGTAAGCGCGGGGTCCCCAAAAGCGCGGGGCCCGTGACATTGGCCGCTTTTGCCAGATGATTAATCCAGCACTGTATCACAGATTCACAGAATAGAGACAAACAGAAGATCGACTTTTTGGTTTTTCCTATGATTTTGGCGTAACCGCAATTCGTCTTCAAAATGCAGAGCACTTATGAGAGGTATTCACCCCCCTGATAATATTCAAATTGGCGGACGTCCAGGGGGTGAATGCATGCCTCTCATAAGCGCACTGGCTAGGACCATGGCGTCAGCATTTTGATAACGAATCATGGCGTGGCAATAAATTGCCAATATTTTTTCCCGTGAAATGATGGACTTTTGTGTCGTGAAATGTGGGTAATTTCTAGTGGGCCTGAAACGAGATTTTATTGGTGGTTGAACGAAAACTGGACGAGAAGCGAGAACGTCATCAACAGCAAGGCATTGGATGTAACAATTTTACTGCGTCCATGCACTTTTTGTAGTTTTACCAGATATATCAGTTTGGTTTTAAAAAGTGGTCTTTCAGTGGTTTTGGTCTTGCAGTAGTGAAATTAGTTTTGAAAGCAGTTTTTTCTCACGTGAAAGATAATGAAAAAAGGCCCTCCTCCTCTCTTTACCACAACCTCTTGAATTGTAAGGAAATCCTTTGTTAAATTTATCTAACATGATAATGGTAACTGCTATACGTAGTGGAGACATACATCCACATCCAGGTCCTGTATCTCACAGCGCAAGTACCTCTACCCGAAAACAAACTACACACTCTTTCTGTCTGGAAATCAAGTGTCTATATATGAATGCGCGAATCTTAGTAAACAAATCAGCAGAATTTCAATCTCTCGCCGCAGACCTGGACCTAATCGCTGTCACTGAAACTTGGTTAAAACGCAGAATAAAGATCAGTACCAGAAGGGCCACTCAGCGGTGCAACGTGTCACCATTTTTCTATGCAAAAATGTGCAATTGACTGGCCAGAAGGCGGGGCCTCCAGCCAATACAGCGCGTTTATTGGCCAGAAAATGTAATCGACTGGCTAGGAAGATGGCGGCCAGGGTGACAAAAACTTCAAAGCTTCCAACGTAAGTGGCCCTTCTGTGTGCCTTATTCTGTGGTTAAAACCTCATATATTGGACTGTGAGATCTTGCCTGGTTTAGACTTTTCCATCCACCGACGCGACAGAAAGGATAAAACTGGAAGTGGAGTTATGCTAGCAGTAAAGAACTCAATACAAACTCTTCGTCGTAAAGACTTAGAAGGTGATGCGGAAATTGTGCTATGCGAACTTCGACCTGAAGCCAGGCGTAAAATCCTGGCTGTTGTGTTTTACAGGCCCCCCAACTCCAACCTTGATCATCTGAAAGAACTTAAAAAGTCACTACGCCACGCCCCTCAATTCAATTTCGATCAAATAATCATCTGTGGGGATTTGGTCTACTGGCATTGCATCGTCTTCCGAATCATTGCACAACAACTTTACTAAATTTGTCAAAGACATTACTTGTGGCAGTTGGTTCACTTTCCAACGAGAAACAACATTCTTGACTTGATCTTAACAAACATTCCTTACAAAATACATAATCTACATGGTTACGACGACATTATCTCTACCGATCACAGATTAATCGGTTTTGATCTAGATCTAAGGTCCCTAAGAAACCGGACATTAAACGCTCTGTCTACAACTTTAAAAGAGCAGATTGGTCTAATCTAAACAACTCACTCCAGAACACCTCTTGGGACCAGTGTTTTGTACCTAATGATGTGGATGCTTCTCTCTCAAATTGGTGTGCTATTTTTCTGACCGTTGTTAACCAACACGTGCCTAAATCTAAGACCAGAAATATCCATGATCACCCTTGGATTGATAAAGAGCTTTTGTCCCTCATCAAGAAAAAAAACAAGCAAAGACTAAAAGCCAATAGAACAGGTTGTGTTCATGACGCTCAAAAGTTTAAGCTCAAGAGTACGCTACTAAATTCAGAGACTTTGTCACGGAAAACCCGAAACGTTTCTGGTCTTTCGTAAAATCCTCTAGGTCGGTCAAAACATAACTATGGTCAAAATCACCGCGAAGATAATCAATCTTTCATTACTGACAGCCGTGACAAGGCTAACCTACTGAACTCCTTCTTCCACTCAGTCTTTAGTCCTGCTCAAGCTACCACTACAACATGTAATCACCCATTGTCTTCCGACACAGCCTTACCCAACATCCAACTAACAGAAATCGAAGTCTTTAAAGCTCTTGACGGTTTGGATTCAAGCAAAGCATGCGGACCTGATCAGGATGGGATACCTGGAAAACTTCTCAAGATGACGGCTAACATAATCGCACCATTTCTCTGTCAAATATATTATCTCTCTTTGTCTCAGGGTTAGTTCCTGCTTGTTGCAAGCTCGCAAACGTTACACCTGTGTTCAAAAAAGACGATCCAACGCTCGCTTCTAACTATAGACCTATTTCCCTATTATCTATCATCTCAAAAACGTTTGAACGCTGTGTATATAACCACTGCTATCCCCATATATAACCACTGTTTCTACCATCTACAGCATGGTTTCTTAAGGGGTAAATCTACGGTAACTCAACTACTCCACGTCTACCAAGAAATTCTAGATCATTTAGTTGGTGGTAAAGAGGTTGATGCCATCCACCTAGACCTGTCCAAGGCCTTTGATCGAGTGCAACATCACATGCTTCTGAACAAGCTTGAGCAATATGGCATATCAGGCTCGCTTCTTCAGTGGTTTCGTAATTACCTGAGTGACAGATATCAGCGCGTTGCCTTAGATGGAACCCTCTCAGACTGGCTCCCCGTGACCTCTGGAGTCCCACAGGGATCCATCTTAGGACCCTTCCTGTTCCTAGTATACATCAACGACATGCCAGAATACGTAGGACAGGGCTCGAGTATATTGCATTATTTGCAGATGACTCTAAACTATATAGGCCCATAAACTCGGCATCTCACCATCTGTTGCAATCGGACCTTTCAGGCCTTCAAAATTGGAGTAATGACTGGGCATGACGTTCGACCCATCCAAGTGCAAAGTGATGCACATGTCTCGGACAAAGGTCTGCTCCTCTGCTTCGCTACAATACCACCTGAACGGCAAGCCCCTGGAAAGTGTGACACACATCTCTGACCTGAGTGTCATCGTATCCAAAGACCTCTCCTGGGCTAATCATATTGAAGACATATGCACCAAGGCCAATAAAACCCTTGGTCTAATTAAGCGGGTGTGTGCTAGAGACGTTGTAGATGCCAATACGTGGAAGCTTCTCTATTGTGCTGTTGTACGACCTTTTCACAACATTTTCTAGTTATTGTTATATCTCTATGTAAATGTATATCTTTTATGTGTGTGACAAAATGAATAATAATGTGTGTGTGTTTATTTACCTTTACAGCTTTATCACCCTGACCAAATGTATAAGAAACGTACATTCCTTCGCGCCTCCGTCTCAAGCTGTCCAGCGGTTCATCAAGAAAATCTAAGAAAATGTTTTGAGTCTGCAGCCTATTCCCGAAATTCTGAAAATAGAATGAACTTACTTTAACAAATTTGAACACAAAGTCAAAGGTGATGGCTCATATAGTGGTGATAATATCTCTATTGCAACACATTAAGCCGCAATGTGCCCTATTTTTTTATTGTATCCTGTCTGAAACCAGTCTGGTTAACCAAGGGTTAACCAGATAATCGATTCTGTCCACGTTCGTTGTTGCCGCTTCTTAATCCGTTGAGCTTCAACGTGCGTTACGTGCCCTATTGCCCGTATAGGCAATTCCAGCTTTTAGTTTATGCCTGCAGGGGATGATGGGAAGTAAGGTATCCTATTGTTGATTATGCTGAAAAATTTCAATAAAAAGTACCGAAGCAACCGAAATATTTCAATATTTATTTACAAGTATAAGCTATCACTCCATGTTTACACGGCCACCATTTTTCCTTTTTCAGCATAATCAGCAATGTGATACCTTACTTCCCTGCACGCATAAACTAAAAGCTGGAATTGCCTATTGGGTTGTTTGTTGTTTGGGATTAATTTATTGAAAACACGATCTTCCTGGCATCACATGGTAAAAGGCTAGCGTATAAAAGTTCTAAAAGTCAAAACTAGCGCTTAAAAATTGTTATCGTAGTTAAATTAAAGACAGACAGCCACCTTAAATTTAACAAGTGCAGTTACATTAGGTCACAGAATAGAAAGGTATAGCAGAAGCGTAACTCAAGCAAGTATTTGTCCGCGTTTTTACAAGCGATTCGTCATCAATCACGCCATCCTGGCTAGTACAACCGGCACTTTGTACCTACCAAAACCTGATAAAAACTTCCGGCTGTACTAGCCAGGATGGCGTGGATTGGCGTGAGCGAGTTACAATTTTCGTGGACGTCAAACAATAAGGAAAACGACTAGAGTTACGCTTCTGCTATAACTTCCTATTCTGTGATTAGGTCGTTGCCAGCTAAAGGAAGTGAACGTCTGAACGAGAGCACAGAGGATATACTAGCCTAGACCTAGGCCTTCTAGTCTTATTTATATGTTTTTAATATTCAGCGCTTTTTCACATGAAAAGACTGGGACTAGATGATTTGGGGGCGGGGCGGAGGAGCGTCAGGCTTGTGTCCTTCCTCCGCCCCGCCCCCAAATCACCTGGTCCCAGTCTTTTCATGTGAAAAAGCGCTGAATCTTAAAAAAATATAAATAAAAATAGAAGGCCTAGGTCTAGGCTGAGGATATACTACAGTATCTACTCTGTGACGAGAGGGAGGTTCAGGTTTTCAAGATGGCCACTGGTTTCCACCAGGCACTTGTAACAATCTTAAACCTTATGGCTTAATCCCAAACCTTACGTTAACACTAACGGAAATTCTGAGTTTAAATGAACTATTTTTTAAACTTCTTCTTGTCCATCCCTTGTAGTCATTACCAGTAGCACTAAAACATATATAAAGCGTAAGATGAATATACCTTTCCCCCATCATTCATGCCATAGTCATGATCATCCCAAATACCCACGATACTTGTGTTGGATTTGAGAAATTCCTAAAGTACAAAATTTAAACCAACGTAAAAATAATGGCCCGATTTGTAGCATTCTTTCCCAACTCCCGGGCATTCCCGGGCATTCAACGAATCTCCCCGGGCGTTCCCGGGCATTCCCGGGCATTCTTTAGTAGGACCGCCAGAGACGGATCATCCATTTGGACAAACTTGGGAGGAAAAAAGATAGTTTCGAACTTTTAATAATTGACGAATTAGGTACGACAGAAGAGAGACATTATGAATCAATTAAGTACGGCAGAGTTTGGAGCGGCAAAGTTCGACACAAGTTCGACAGAGCCGATGGCCACTGGTTTCCAACTAGAAATAACTAATAGGTCTTAGGCTTAGCCATGAAGTTTGTATTTTAAGATATCGTAATCTAGTGGTTTGTTTAGCCAAACGGTTGATCAAAATTACATGTAACATAAACATCATGGTAGTATAAATACATAACTCATAAGGTGAAAAATGTCATTCAGATGGAGTTCACTACCTGATAATCTGGGTGATGTTTTTGTCTTCTGAAATAAGAGGCCATTAATGGCAACGGCGATGGAGTCCAAAGGAATGGTACTATTCTTGTATCTCCATATGCAGCTACACAAAAAAAATTTTAAATGATTGAGGCATGCCATACATTATGCAATTTCATTGGCATGTTGCATGCTATGTACTCCAAGTGAGGAACCATACCGGACAAGTAGAGAAAACTCTACTTGACCCGGCTGGGATTCGAACCCACAATCTTTGGTTTACTAGTGCTGTCCGATGCTCAACCGCCCCAATGGTGCCCCCCCCACTCAACCATTTTGCCCCCCCCCCCCAGTCAAAGTCCCTTTTCTCTAAAATATAAGCAAAACATGGAATTTAGTAGGGAGGTTTGATATTCTAGTAACTGAAATTTGCTTTGTGAATCTTATGTCCTGTCTTTTATCTTTAATTAATTAATGCTGAACATTGTGTTGTAAATACCTTTAATATTAGATTTTAAACATTTTCCAGTGGATTGCATTTCCTAGACCCTATAGATTTGAGTTGTTGGAAGGCTCGGCTAAACAAGTTAGTGACCGCAGGGGGCAACAGGCCCCCAACCCAGTGTTTTATAAGGGGGGGAAATAATTTTGGCCCCCCACCCATTGATTTCGAAACTAGAAGTATAAGTATTTGAAATTGTATATATATATAATCAAATATCTGTAATCAATATTTTGATAACAACAATTCTCGTAATAATCCATCCTGATCGACTCGCAGATAGCATAGACTCACAAATCATATTTGAATGAAATAATGGAAGGGCCTAACAAAACAGGTAGAGAAGATTTTGAAAATGCCATTTCCGACAATTTAGAGACGCAAAATTTTCCCGCTCTGTGTCAACCATGGTAGAGCTTCATGGGAGTCAGGCTCTTCTTTGATATCGAGACATTTAAGTCATAATTGTCATAATTCACAGCCAAGACCAAGTTCACTCTTGCCCACAACATGTTGCATGCTGTTATAATTTTTCACCTGTTTCAATATTTTGTTCATCTTTACAGTAGAAACATAAAATTCATACCATCGCCAAGCCATATCCACAGATCAGGTTGTTGTTGTAAAATATGCTTCCACACAGGTTGCGGTCTTTGGTGCCATTTTGATTCATTGAACATTCCACTGTCAAAATGTTCACAAAAAGAAATTACTTCTCGAAAATAATCACTGCAGTATGGCAATTGTCAACACCAAATCAAATGCACCCTGATCACGTTTTCTTCCAATGAGCATGCATGGAAAGGAAACAACAATGTTTGTGAGAACATGTTACATGTAACTTTTTATATGATGATACCTGCAGTATCATGATATCATACCTGCAGTATCATGATTGTGCCCAGTAATTATAAAACCAAAATTATACTGTGAGATGCCAGCTGGTGATCAGTTTAGCAATTACAGACCAACAGAATGCCCCCCCCCCCCCCATTTTGTAGTATTGCACCAGAATTGACCTTCAGCTATAAACATTAACGCCTAGCTTCCAATTTGTACAAACGCATGACTTTCGGCAGAACGTTGACCGACTCTTTTCACATGAGTCCATAGCAAGAATCAAACCAACAAACTCAGAATCAAACCCACATAGCAAGAATCAAACCCACAAATCGAACCCATGCACAAACTCTGCGCCACCATACCTCATGTATGACCCCATTGTGGATATACTGTCTGTATGAACTTGGATTTGACCAAGCTCCTAAGAATCTCTGCAACTATTTAATATGCACTGATGACTGATGAACCCCAGAAATAAATATATAAGCACTATTAGCCCATTAAGGCCTTTTCCTTGACTAGTAAAACTATTAGACTGAGTGAAATAACAAAGAACATGACACATACAGTGCCGTATGTAGGAAGCTATTTTTGATTGGGAGCTGAAAACGAGGGCCAAAGGCCCGAGTCGAATGCTGCATGCACTAAAGTTATAGGGGAAAATTTTATAATTTAGCGTCTCTGAAATGCCATTTCCTGGACTTTGGAGGAAGATTTGACAGAATTCTGACTAATGGTCAGAAAACAGTGTTATATAGCCTGCATGATTTTGAAGTCTGCATGATTTTGAAAAAAAGAATGCATGCAACCCCCCAGTGGCTACAGCCCTGAAGGTGCACTGCTGAGTATCATAGGATGGCAGGGAAGATGTTTGGTAGTCTCAGGTTAACCCATTAAGGCCCAGCACTTCCCGAGGCAAACCGGGACAGTTGGAATGTTTGGAATGTTTGGAATGCTGCAAGTCTCTACACAGTTTTACAGTTCTCTGCATGCAGTCCCAGACCTCACAGTTCACAAAGACCTAATGTATTAGGTATGTGAGGTATGAACAGGGTCAGCACTTGTTTCAGTGCCGTAGCAAGCTCGATAATTGGGAAATATTCATATATATTCGTAGTCTGTGTTATTAATTTCTTTGAACTCCATTGCTTTATGGCTCAGAACACGTACCCCCCCCCCCCCCCCAATTATCGAGCTTGCTACGGCACTGTGTTTCCATCTACCAAACTGACGTGACATCATTTTCAGAAGATGGAAGAGGTGTTAAATAGCTATGTAACTAACCCAAACCCTACCCATACTCTAACCCCTACCCCTAATGCCAACCTTAACTCTAACCCTTAAACCCTAACCAAAATAATAAAATCCAAACAGTCAAAAATTAAAATCAAATGACGTAACGTCAGTTTGATGATTGGAAACGAGGAAAACCTATTAACAGTAATGCAGCAGTGAGATATAGGTTAACCGCTCTAGGAATTATTTATATAAAGTTACTTACTTCATACAGCTACCAAATGCAATTCGACTAACATATTTATTGCCATGCTCGAAATCTGACCTACTCATTCGATTCTCGAAACATACGATTTCTTCTCCAAACCAAATTAAAATAACCGATAAAATAAATAATGTACTGTTGCAATTAACCATATCAATGTTGGCAATGTATTTCGAAATATGTGATTGTGATCTAAATATTTTGCCGTCTCTACTTCCTGTGTGCATAGCCCCCTGGTCCTCTGCCCCTGGTCAGTATCCTAAGGGACGGACCATTTGATTTTTGATGGGGGAGGGGCAAGGGGCGCAAATCCTAAACAAAATATCGAGCATGCCCCGAACTGATGAAAAAATATCAAGCACGGCGAATTTGTAAAACCAATATGTTACAAAAGTTCGGGAAAAAAATCGAGCACTTTCAAAAAAGCGCCTCCCCCCCCCCAATCAAAAATCAAGTGGTCCGTCCCTAACCCAACCCTAATCATTGCCCTTATCTCATATCTATGCCTTATCCTGACCCTAATCCTCTTTACCCAAATCCTAAATCTAATCCTAACCCAAATTCTAGCCTCCTCCGCAGGCCTCTCTATGGGTTTTAGCCTGCGAATGGGTTTTGAAACTTTTTCTCACCACCCGATTCCTCAGTGAGATGCCTGCGGAGGAGGCTACCCAAATTCAGTACTGCAGTATTTATGTTAATTTTTTTCGTATACTGATTTACATATGTGATTATTGAAAATTCTGCACGCTGATTGGTTGCCGTTGAGGTGATTAATATATGTGTTGAACAGATCGACCTCCGGATTGGGAGAAGTTACCTAGTGAGATATCATGTTCAACACGAGAAATAAATCTAGTATTTCCAAGCATCCATGTATTTTTCTGTTTATTATATAAAGGACAGTCTTTAAAAAGCGATAATGTTTACAGAAAAGCGGTAATTGAAAAGCAATAATTTTCACATGCATATGTGAAATTATCATAAATAATCTCAGTATCTCACATGTGAGATTATCAGTTTTATCAGTGCTCGAAATTTCTATATGTGCAATCGAAAGTTAAGTGCAATCATAAGGGTGGGCCATGTAAAAATATGCAGAAATTTTTTCAAGGGCATGTGTATTAAAATTCATATTATAAAAGTAGAAATAGAACGTATGAGGATCCATGTGAAAAATTTATACCGCAAACGTTAACCTCAAACCCAGTATGGAAACCTTTGTTATTGCGTATTTGCGCACGGAATGTGATTAACAGTAGCCAGTCATTTGCGCACATTTGTACCACAGATGCGCTCATTAATGTGGTCAATGGACAGCAGCGAAGTCACATTCTAGTATATTTGAAATGGAAACACTTGATTTTAAGGTTTGCGTGCTTTTTTTCAAAATTTTTGCGCACTTTTTTAAAAAAACTGCGCGGGAATTTATTACGCGCGCATCCCAAAGTTCGGCATACTGGCCTCAAACTTAAAAGCTGAATTTACTGTCTTAATTGGCTAATACGTTAGTAGTGGCTAACTAATTTTCTGATAATCATTTTGCTAAATGTCACGAGCTTTGTATAGGATGTCTATTATGTAACAAAGTTAGTGTAATTTCTACAAGAGCGTAGTTAAATAACAATCATCGTTAGCAGTTTGGCGTTAGCTGTAAATGTCAAACTAAACTACTCTTTAATTTTGAGAAAGATACTGCATAATGCAGTATGCATGGGAAGTTCCATGCAAAGAAAGACCTTTCTGTATTTAATTCAGGGCCTCTTTTAACATATATACTGGGGAGGACATGTCCCCCCCCCCAGCCCTCTTACTGGCCCCTCCAGTCGGCAATTTCCCCCCCCCCCCCAGTGAGGTCCCTAAGAACTACCTGCACTGTCATAGGTGGTCAACCAGCAATTATGTATCAAAGTGAGAAAACGATGTTAAGTTGTTAACATTTCTGAATTTGACCATCATCTGCATGCCCGTAACTAGCTATGAGTCAACCGAGTCAGTTGACTCAGTAGGCCAGAATTTGGGAACTGAAATTTAAACATCGCTAGAAACCTAAACCATGACTGAAATAATTTGCTCGTGGAACAAGGCATGAAATGGCTTTTTAGGATAAAATTCTAGTTTAGTTTTTCCAAGCAAAGATACTTCAAAGAGACCACCCTATCTTGCTTTTCAGTGACACTGAGAAGACGAATGCGTCGATTTCAAGTACCCAATACATGTAATACAGTACTGTAGAATTTGAAGTGTGGTGAAATGATAATACTATACCACACACATTTTAATTACCGCATCATCACACCATGTTGCCTTATTGGAACTGGATTACATTTGGGAGACTGTGAAATTGCAGTAATTGTGTCACTGTCAAGGTTAATTTCTTGTTGGAAAACTCCTCAAAATGCGGGAAATAGCTTATCTGAGCTTCAAGAAATCCAAAATTTTCTGAGGGGTATGCCCAAAATTTTCTAGTCGACTCGGTTGTCTCAGAATCCTAGTTATGGCCTGATCTGCTGCCCTATGACATATACTTATTAGTTAAACCATGCATATATATGCTGGTAGCTGCAGTGATATAGATTTTCCGACTGGAACTTCTCCAGGTCTCCCGCTGTACGTCCCCTCCAGTTACACATCCTTAAAAGAGGCCCTGAATTTTAATTGCACCATTTGAATAGCTATTGAGTATTGTAAGTGTAACAGAGAATTATTTGGCAACAGAAAAATAGAATGCTGGTATCTTTCGCCTTTCTGAAAGGGTGGGTCATAATTTTTCAGCACCAATTTAAGGGTGGGCCACAAATTTTCGTGCAGCTATTAAGGGATGGGCTACCAAAAGTGCAGACACCCACCAAATATATGATTTTCCCAGCCCCCTCCTTTTACTTTATGACCGGTCCCTTATATAATAAAACGCGATAATCACATAAGCGATTTTCGAAATGGCGGCCGAAGCCGTTTTGTCAATTAAATGACGAAGATTCCAAGATTTGTGTATTTTTATATTTTTTCCCAAATAATCACCTATATGAAATTATACTAAAACAATTAATATTATTCACCTCATGATCAAGCTCGGTGATTATCGTGAATAAAAACCTTGACTTCCTCCCGGTTTTTATTCACTGATAAAAACCTCGCCTTCGGCAAATAATTATTAAATATAATTGTAATATTTATGTAGATAGTGAGCACGGCCTTGTGAAAAGCAGATCATCTGACAACCTCGTTCCTAGGCTCTTCCCTCTTGTGGAGGCCAGACCCTGGTCGGGCTGATCATCTGATCATCTGAAATCTGATCATCTGAAAGGCTACCGTGTGTTTTAAATAAATGTAAATAATAATAATAATAATAATCGATTTGCTCATCAAGCGTTATGTGGGACGAGTGATTGACGAATGAATTGTAGGACTCTCGTTATGGCAATAGAATAGGGTTTTAATTCCCATTTATATTTTGATCGATTATTTTGCACCCTTTTTATTTAACCATTCCGATCGTGCATTGCGGTCATTGTGCAACCATGAAAAATTAGGCAGACCAAGTCCATGTCCGCATGTCCCCCTTCCCATCTTGAACAGTATATACGTTAGCAACACATCGTGCAAATTATTGCCATGCAGTAGTAGTAGGTATTGTCGCTCGTCCCTGGACAGACCATTACTTGATTTTTACAGAAATTCAAAAGGATTGGGAAAGAGGCCTCAATCTAAGGAAGGTAATTGGTCCCTATGATCCAGAAATGAAGCTACTGAAGATGTTTACCAAAAGCTTCGCTATATAATGAACCATTTACATATAGAACACGAACAGGGTATATTGCGAAGAAGGCACTTTAAGGTTGTACCTTTGAAAGTGCTTTAAAAAGTACCATAGGCGTACGGAAGGAAAACATTAGGGGGCACCAGCACGACTTACAAAATTACTCCCCCCCCCCCTCCCCCCAGAGTTGAATAGTCTATGGCATTGATAAGTAAAAATATTTTAAGTGTAAATTGGATAACTGTAAAATATTTTTAACTAAAAAGGTTAAAAAGTAAATTATTATAAAATTCGGCAGTCATAATCAAATCTATTCAAAAGCTAAGTAATAGGGCGAGAAAGCCAAGGCACATGACCAGTGACAAGAGCCACCTAGATCAAGGGTCGGGTCGTCGAGGCACAGAAAGGGCAAAAATTCATACAATAACTCCTTAATTTTTTGCCTCGAGTCCTCGACTCCCAGATTCACAGAATACTTTCGCCGGTGTAGCGTGCCCAAAACACTATATTCACGAAATTTCCGAAAGGACAGAATTCGGAGAGGCCATCCAGTTCTAAAAAATCATATTTTGCAGGTTGCACGGATTCTCTGTGGCGAAAACGAAAAATGACAATACTCGTAGCAAATTTTACCTGTCCTAGGTTTAGGAACTGCATGCTGAACGATTTACTAAGTTTTTTCCACGAGGCAATTATTTACTCTGCAACTATGAACGTGATCCACATTTCACATTCCTATCATTCATTTTTTGTTGCATCATAGGGAAGCTAATCAGTAAGCAAGAAAATGTCGTCCAGTTATAAAACGCTGAGGGGCATGCTCGTAATTTTTCACTGTGACTATTTTTTTATACAACATTGCTCTGTGAGTCAGCCGTCAGTGTCTGAAGTTAGGTTGGAAGTTGCAATAAAATTGCATCGTGCATGTATATATGTATATCAGTAAATGTAACTATAAAGGAAATCGCATCTTTATTTCGTCAAGCTCATCTGCTCATGCAGGCAGGGGCTTCAAATCTCTATGACATCCAAGCTCGAAGCACGTATAGCATTGAAATGCCAGCTTGCAGATGTAATTAGGTATTTTGTTCCATTATATGTTGATAAGCCAGTAGCAGACTGGCACGCTGACACAAGAAGTGTATATTGAAAAAATATATGTGTGTGGCTTTGTGTACAGATTGTCTTGATTTGCGTGTTTACATTTTTGCGCCGAAACATTTTGACAAATCCAAACTGCCATTTTATCCGTAGTATTATGTTCCAGTGTATTTTCTTCCAAAATAAGTCCCATGACGCATGGCACAGACTTAAAAAGAGAAATATTTCAAGAAGCAATAACAAAGTAACATGATAGGTAATGGTATGTGCCCTCGCTGCGAGTTCTGCACCATAAAGAGAGCCTCGCATAATATGACCCAGCACTTGATCACTGAAGTTCTCTTGGCCCAGTCAGGAATATCATTACGTTCAGTGTATTGGGAGCTAGAGGTAAGTCATTCATAAATATATTTTATCTTTTTTGTAGCTCTTGTATTCCTTTTGGCAACTGCTTCCGAAACTAGACCACTAGCTCCTTGTCCTAAGGAAATTCCCCTTTTGTATAATATAGGGCATATACGGTATAAATTTGGGGACAATGGCTCAATGAGTCAACCTTAACGTTATGTGAATTAGACAATAAACTAATGATACCAACTTTCTGCCTTTTTACTTCTTTTGTGATTGATTCTGGAATGACTGCCAGCTTCCTTTCCCAAAGAATTTCCCCCCTTTCCTTTACAAATAGGATTACATATACCGACATGCATTTGTATTAGTCCACACTGATTGTTTAATTGGAACAGATTATATCTTCATATTTTATTTAGCTTCTATGAAAAATAGCAAATAAACCTCAATCATCAATAATTCCATCAAACGATAATTACCGATCACTTGCTTTAAAAACTGAGTTCATTTTTTGATTTGCGCATGCAGTAGATGGTCAAGATCGATGTTTAGCATTACGCCACAAGTCAGAGCGGGAAATTCGTGCTGAGAACGGAATTTTTTCTCCTAGCCTGAGACCGATGCGCACATTTCACAAAGTTATTTTAAAGCTTGGAAAACTCAATGAAAACAAAACAGAGTACAGGGAATCTATATTTCTGAGCAGAATTGGTTCAGAATCATTTTCTTATTTTGTTTTAACAAGCGAAACTCTCAAATAATCAGTTACTCGAATTAAGTAATAATATTTCTTTATACATTCAAGGATAGGAAACGTGCTTTGATACAATTCGATATATAGGAAAAATTCCTAAATTGATAACCGTATGTTCGTCCCCCCGCGCCTTCGGGAAGATATCGATCAATCGCATGTTCAGCATTCGATTAGCATAGATCATTGACTGATGCACGTAGAAGTTACTATAAAGCAAGACGCAACTTTATAGGACCTGGGAGTGCCAAACCGTTTGGTAAAATGTCCAAAATAGTTAAATAGATAAGTTCATTTTGGGCAAAATGTTCCGGACTATGGCAAGCAAACGATTTTCTGATTGTCTACTGAATTTTATATAAAATATTAACAGCTGTGTTTTTCCTTTTCCACATTCAAATCCCAATGCTTTCTCCTGGATAAGTAAAACTGTCTGTTGGGCGTTGTTACACAGTTCATTCTGCATGTCCGTTTCCTCTTTTAATGAATTCTAAAACTGTGTCTGGCTCAAACACAATAATAAAACAATAGATGACAACACACCTTAGGAAAAAAAAATTACAGTTGAGGCACGTTAAGGGATAAATGTGGAAGAACAAGTGCAATTGTGATCAATATTTAATGTATACATTATACCGAAATTCTTGCTTGTGCCAGCTGTTTTCATTTATATATACAAAGTAATTTGCATAAAGTGCGGCTATACATTTTCCCGGAGATTTGTATGCAAATAACTAAAACTGGTGCTTTCATTTTTGTTAGAAGTAAGTAGTCGCTTCCTGTCGTTGATAATTACATCGCTTTACTGCTGTTGGTGTTCCGAATTGATCCTCTACCCTGTGGCGTACTGAAGGTAATTGGAAAATAATGCTCATTTAATTGTTGTTTAGTTTGTACTTTTTATTCAATATACTGTGTAAATGTATAATATAAAAAGTTTGCGTGCGTATGAAAATATTTACTAGCAAAAATCTTCAGTCAGTCTTTCAAAACAATTCCAGCCTATACTAACTGAATGCATGGGCAAGAAAAACATTAAGTAAAAGTTTAATATACACATCCATGCCGTTTGTACTGTTTGTTCAGCTGGGTGCCTTGCTCTTGATAGGGTCTAATGTGAATAAGATCAATGCATAAAACAAATGTTTACTATAGTTTATCATTGGGGAGCCAAAATGAACTAGGGGGCCCGGCAATGTTATTCAAAAGCAAGAAAAAGGTATTACTATTGCGTGATTGCCAAAATCACGCGCGCGCTCTTTCGTGCAAGTCATGCAGGGCCTGTGCACAAGCGTGGTGTACATTTTAAGGCTGACTAAAACTAGCGAATCCAAAGCCGGAAAACTAACCAATAACATTGCGGAAATTTCTAACCGCGTTAAATTGGTTTGTGAAAAAGAAAGTGTTCTTTGCAATTGTATATAGTTTTACCATCTGTGCAAATGCTACTGCGTTGCGGCTTACATTTGAAATATTTTTTGCACGATGACGAAGGCCGGATGGCGCTGTCCACCGGGTAGTAATTTTTCCAAGATCCCAAAACTGGCATCCCATTGGTCTAACCTTGCAGATTAAAATCTTAAAACATATTTATAAAGTTATGTTATATTCATTGTAGTTTCAAAAATCAGAAAATCCATATCCGTTGGATAGTACTATCCTTCGTGCAACCACGCAATTCAGTAGTCATTGTTTGGCAACTATGAATTCAAATTATTTAATATAAATTAACCTATAATCATATATTACAGCCGTACTATTGGGTAATTATCATTTATTGTACATTTAATGTAAATCGGTAACCAATTATGTGGAGTATTCAACATTCAAAAACTCATTAATAATTCATGAAGCAATTATCCAATCTTGAGTAAGAAATTAGTCACGTGCATACGTCTTTATACCAGCTAAAGAACACTTTAACAAAAGATCATTGTTATGCAAACTATATAAAGGTTTTTATATAAAGATTTTTATATAAAGATTTTTATATAAAGATTTTTATATAAAGATTTGACTTATTATGCATACGTTTTTGAAGTCATTTAAAAAACTCGCGTGTCGTGTTTTATTATGGCTTTAAACCAAATAAAACACTCCTGCTCGTTTTTTAAATAGTACATCAAAAGCTAACGGGTCATTAGGTACAGAACAATTAATATTGAACAATCACAGGTGACTGGCGCTTTGCTTTCTGGCACAGTCAGTGATAACTTGATCTATTTATCCTATTTCGCAATTCCGAATAAAATCTTTGATTCTCAGACAAGTCAATGAATTCAATATGTTCGTTTTAATATCGAGAATCTTCTCTTCTTTCTTTAATCACATGCTTTTCATCTTGCACTGCTGCTATTAATTATAAAAAAGTGCATGAAAATATTAAGCAATTTATATGTTTGTATAGCCTATACAGTTTGATTGCCGGCATGCGATCAAAGAGACCAGAAATTGAATTCAAAGAACATAGTCTATGGTTGTCCAGCATTCCAGCAGAGAACATAATTTAAATGTGCTGGCTTTAATCCTAGGCCTAACAACAATCAAGTGACAATAATAATCTCTGTTTTTGTCTAATTAAGCTTTCAATTCGGAAGGTGACGCACATGTATATATCTTTTGCTCTCGGCAGAGACGTGCTGGGGCCTTGAAAAGGACGACGAATGAACAACGTCTGATGGGGCCCAGTGACCTATGGATCAAGATTGGGGTGGGGGTATTACTGGATCACAGATATGAAACATTTCAGTCGCTAATTAATCTTTTTTCCCAAAAAGGGGTGGGGGAGTAAAAAAATGACTGGACTTACCATTTTTTAGCAACTTTCCAATTAATGTACCGTATTTCGGCAATATATTCGTAAATTTAGATTTTTAAAATATACATTGTAATATCTTAATCTTGATTATCAAAATTAAAATCCATATTTTTTATCTTTTCCAATGTTGTAATTTTAGGGGCCAACAACAAGTTCTTGTCGGCTCGTCCCTAGCCAGCACGTCCCTGACGCTCGGTTGGGTATTACTGAACTGTGAAAATAAGCGTTCCAGCTAAACAAAACCTTAAAATATCTGAAGTGCACAGTCCCTCAAATTTGCTTCGAAAAAAATTAAGATTATATATAGCCTGCTGGTTATTACTGTTATGATATAATGTAAGCATATAATGCAAAGAAAAGGTAACCGAACACTTGAACAAACTATATAATAGGTGAACGAATATATTGGGTAGCTACGGCCGTTGGCCGGGCCAAGTGTAGACAGTTGTCAAGACTTATAACGTGCACGAGGACTAAAGCGGATTGAAACCTGTCAAGCTGGAGAGCTACTGCGCATGTTCAAAAATGTTCGCTCGTCCCGCGCAGGCAAAGCGATTATAATGGACCGGCCTTTAGCCGATGGTGGTAATTTTTGCCGCCAATAATCTCCCACTGATAAAACCCTTTTCATCAGGCAATTTAAAATATTGGAAATAAATTATGCTTCTGCATTTAATAGTTAGTATAGCATTGAATAGTATTGACCCTAAAATGTATGCAATTTACTTGCCATGTGATGTCATGAATGAGGCGAGACGTGGCCGAACCGAGTAATCGTCAAAATGTGATAGGATTATAAAGTTTCTATGTGATCTGAACCAGAAATACAATTCCAACTAACTGAACTAAGGACAGGTATGACAATGAATCACAAATAAACTATGAAACATTCCTTTGCATTCCGTATGATGCGGGATTAACATGTAAACACGTCCGGAATGACGCGAGATAATGATTTCACGTGGTGAGAATGCTGCGTGATGACTGCACGCAAAAGTTTGAAACCTTTGTTAATAAAACATTTTCCCAAAATCTGAACTTTGCAAACTTAGTCAGTTCAGTGAACCTTGTGGTGAAAATAGGCTCAGCCAATCACGAGGGACTATCTTTTTCACAAAAGCTCTCACGCGCAGTGAATCGATCGCAAAACGTCAAAATGAAGAAACACCTTTAAAACAAACTTGCACGAGATTCAATCTCTAATTATGCGTACTACTAGGAACAAAATCAACAACATTTGTGATCCAAAATAAATATATATTTACATGCAGTATAGTCCGTAGTCCGTACTTCCTGTTCGCCGTTGGCATTTTAAAAGATTGACTATAGCTTTGTGTAAGGGATGATATTTCACTTTGGAAAGCTAATTTATTTGAGAAAATAATACCCAAATGAGTTGAAAAATAAAAGAAGAAATAACTCTGGTAAAAATTTTGCATTTGTTTCATTCGAGGTTTCATTTGTTCAATTTTGAATGTATTAATGGAGAATGTCCGTCGAATGGTTGATGCCTGCGTAGGTAGCGATGAGTACATGAAGGGACGTAGCGACCGGGGGGGGGGGACTGTGGGAAACTGTGAAACTCAAGCGAAAATCAGGTAACATTCAAGTTAAAATTTTATTTCAGAAAATTTGCGTAATAAAGTAATTCAATTTTTCTCCCGAAACTTAGTATGACAGTGCAAATCAATCACAAAAAGCTTTATTCGACATTTCAAGCGAATACCCTTCGTCAGGAAGCTTAATTTATTAATACTGTATGGTCTTTCAAGTAGTTCAGCCAATTAGAAGCTAACCAACAATTTGCATTTTATGGGTGAAATATGAATTAGCATATGGCAACGGGTATTAACATGCACATTAGCGGATTAGTCGATTCTGAAACTGAGGTAGATTTGTAGCAACGCAGTAGCGCACAGATAGCTGTGACAGAGACGCAGAGCAACTAATTAGCTCTGTGCAATTCAGGTGAAAATTAATTAGTATGTCGCAGTATGAGTCAATACTGCAGTGAAGTGACACCTTATAGCCATTTTTAATTAACGGTTCCCACACAATTTGTGAGGTTGAAACATGCATTTGGAGTTTTGGACCTTATCTCACCGCCAGATGGTTTTTTCTCTGAAAGGAAACTAAATATTCTTAGCGAAAACTATCAGAACTTAGTTACTCCAGTATCAGAACTCAGTTGCTGAATAATGTTCAGGCTAACCTATATACTTGGGAAACTAGGAAAGATTGTTGTGGATACATTTCAGATTGTTTTATGTTCCGTCAATTTTTTCCTTGTTTTCCCAACCTCGGACATTGCTGCGGAGACAAAATTATTTTTCTGAAAGAAGCGAAAACGTTTTACCAGCAAGTTCAGAAACAGTGACAATGTTCACTAGTTTGTACTGGACCTATTCATTTTTTTTTTCTCTTGAAGAGGAAAAATTGAAAAAAGGCTACCAAAAAATATCTGAGTAAATATTAAATCTGTTCTTAACTTTGCGTGACTCTTAAATTGGTAACCAGCTGCTGTAAAGATATGAAGTATAGATATCCAGCTTGGCACCAGGGGTTTGTAAGAAAAATAATACCAGCTATATCTTTGGGTGTTATAATTTTCACACCGACATCAAGGTATTGTTGGTATGTAGATACTCCATTCCATTAATTGCGATGAGGTCTCAGATCTCATTATTTCATCAAACATTGTTACACAATAGTCAGTTATTGTAACCGTGCCAAGGTATATAGCTACACATATAGCTTCTCTCTCCAGGCCTGGGTATGTCGCATTGGGTCACAGTTCGTGAGAAAATCGCGTTGTTGGCTGAATGCACCTATATTGGTAGGTTTTAGCAAGCGCCACAAGACTGAGCAGCAATGTTGACAATGATAGGAGCAAGAAAATTACTACCTTTCTCATTTCTATAAAATGCCCACTACACATATACTATAAATCACTTTTTATATTCTGGTTCACCACCGTTTGTTGCATGACCATTCGTAGTGAATTATGCTACATTTGGGACATATTGTTCAATAAATTAAGGGTGTTTTCATGCATGGAAATTTCGGACGACCTATAAGGATATTAAGACCTAACCTGGAGTCGGTTGCGAAAAATGCCATTGGCATTGTAGGAGAAAGTGCTTATTAAAACCCCACTTATTGTTGACTAGTGATGAAAGTTTGATCTATTGATCCTGTTACTGCACCTGCCTGCTTCGCCGGCTCTTCTTATAGCACATATCAGTTATATGAAGATATATAGATCAGTTGTTCGGCTACGCGGGAGTGCGCGAGCCTGATAAAGGCGCCCGCCCGCCCGCACGTAAAGACGAGCACAAAGAAGAGGCCTCCTTGTCACTCTTGTCGTTTCTTGATTTATTTTAGCTACCTAATGCCAGAATATTTTATTCATGCCTCCAATTCGCCTACTTATTGTTAATTATTGGTTAATTATTAAAAAACTTTCGTTCCTACAATCACGTGCAAAAATTATTGAGACAACAACGCAATCCCCCTCCTCCCCTAAGCAATGTTGTAATTGGATAGCTTATTAATTAAAAGTGAAGTTGTCGACGTTCGGTCGACGACGGCAGTTGAGAGAGACGCATGCGCACTTATTGTATTGCCAATTTACTTCTGCTTGCCGTCCTTATCTATTTGCTCAGTCCTGACGTCCTAGCTGAAGTCGACATCGTAGATCTTAAGCTATTTATATGACATAAAGGCAGATTGTCAGTTCAAACTTTTTCGACGGAGGGTGGGGACCAAGAACTTAAAAACAGGATAAAAATATGAAAAGTTGACACTTGGTTGCTGACACTCGATTTTGCCACGGGAAACCGATTGGCAGTCTCGGATCCACAAAACATATTGTTTCCCGACGGTCCCAGTTACTAGTTAATTAAATAACGAAGGAACTTGTCTCGTTAAAACGACAACTTGGGGCTTACTTGATTAGAGTTATAATCAAAGAGCTTTGTTGATGTAACATTTCCTTAGGCAAACAATGTGTTTCATATTGAAAGAATAAACCAAGAAATAAAAAAGTCTAGGCTTAGAAAAGTTTAGAAAGACATCGTTGAACGACAGAGGAAAATTGTCAGAAGAAAGGTGGATGGAGACATAATTATGTGCCCCACTTTTTTCAGAGCCGGAACCCCCACGTTTTAAATCGGTTGTGCTGTTTTTTGTCCAACATTTGGGACGACCACCTCAGGTCTAGGATTTTGAAAAATCACGCATGTATAAGAAAAATATCCGGAAGGGAACATCCTTACATTAATTGGGCGGTTCCTCCTTCTCCGTCAATCAGTTAATTTAGTTAACCAACCAGTGACCTTTAATTCAGCAACGCATTCTGCCACAATTCTGCATACCATTTTCTGTGACATCAGAGAGATTAAGAAAGCGAAGTTCTTGATTCACGAACACCGACAGTTATAGATGGCGAACCGTTATAGACTTATAGATGGCGACAGCCGTCGTTGTTTGAAATGACGAACGTAAAACTACATCGACTGCCGTTCTTGATTTCAAGCACGAACTGCTCGTAACGTCCGTTGACACAGAATAGACATATACAGAAAACTGACTCAGCCAAAAAAGCGTAACATGATTCGCAATGATTCGTCATCAAATTCCACGCGTCATGTTCCTAGCCATGAGTGCGCTTACGAATTCACCCAATGAACGTCCGCCATTTTCAATATTTTCAGAGGGTGAATGCAAAGCGCACTGGCGTTTACGCCAAAATCATAGGCGGCAACAAGAAGTCGGACTATATTTAAAGGTACGTTTACACACAACGATTAATCGGGCCGATTTCAGGTTTTGCCGAATGTTAATGACGAATAGTTGTCAGTTGACTATGTCGTCAGATGACGTTGACGGCGTATTTTTCAAATATCATTTAATTAAAGCTGAATCAGACCGATTAATCGTTGTGTGTAAACGTACCTTAATCTCTCTAACAAGCTTCTTCCGCGCCTAATACAGGGCCACACATTTAGTCACATCACTAAGTTAGAATACATATCAACCCTATCTCGAGCTAGACTATTAAGGTTAGTTTTCAGTGCGAGGCGATACTCATGGGCGTACCGGGCGGGAGGGCGGAGGGGGCGGCAGCCCCCCAATTTGTGGGCAAACAAAGCCAGTCGGGCAATATTCGCTTCACAGTCGGGTAATATTGGCTTATTATAAAAATAAATGGGACAAATTCTGTCAATTTTGTGGGAAATTCTGTCAATTTTGTGGGAAATATGCTATCTATAATAGGAATTTTTTGTAATCATTCCTCCCGGCGACAATTTTGGAAAGTGTCTCCGGAAAATTTTTTTGACAACTCGGGCACAATCCGGAAAAGTCGGGCAAATTTCTTTCCGCCCCCCTAATTTTTTCCTTCCCGTACGCCCATGGCGATACTCGCCGATTTCTATTCCGCGATCGTCGGTGAGCATTGCAGGCAGGAGATTTTCGTAGTTCGTCTGCGATCTTCATTGTTTTTCATGATTACGCGACTATTTCAAGCGTGTAGAGGAGCTGGGACTGAGGTAAAAGTTCTACGAATGTCGCTGACAACTCGCAAACCGTGTTCTCATTTGTTTCATGATCGCAGAGTGTCCGCGACTGCCGCCGATTGTCGCAACAAAACATTTTTTATTTAGCACGACTGTCTGCGACTGTCGCGGGTTAAATTATCCGAACCTATAGGGTTCATTACAATGGCCAATGGGCGGTTTTCATTTGCCCTAACCCGCCTGCGATGCTTGTCAGCGGTCACAAAATTGACATCGGCGATTGTTACCGACTAATGAAAACCAGCTAGCCTTAACTTTGTGTCATGTGTGTTGGGCCATGGTTGTTGACAAGGATTGTTTCGTCGCCACTCAGATTTTAAAAATGTGTAACATTTTTAATTTATTCTAGATTCACAAAATGGAACTGACAGTGAAAGGAGTAGTTGCTATTTTTGCGTGTTTTTTGGCAGTTTTCACACAGACTATATCGGCAAATGCCAATTATTCAGGTTTGTGCTCTCTTTTAACTATATGACTAGGTCCAGGACATATAACTAACTTGCCTTTGTGTCTGGTGTTATGCACTCAGGTGAAGATATATATGTTTGTGATGTTGCTCTGAGTGCGTCCACACCTGGCAAGCTGAAATGTTTGCTTGGCCGCGGTGGGAATCGAACCCGCAACCTTTGGTTTGCTAGTCCAATTGCTCTACCAAGTGAGCTACGAAGTCAATTAGCCTTTCTCACGGCCGATTTTCCCGCCATTTTCGGGGTCCTGCCTCTCCAACGTTTGAGAGTCTCCGCACTACGAAATGCGACTTTTTAGTATTATAGTTGTTTGTATAATGGTGTAAATTTACAGTTACAACTTTTAAAAGTCTCTTTTCGCATTGTTTGAATTGTCTAGAATCTTTCACGAGGGCAGACAGTACACCAAAAATGACGGTTTCGGCCTTCGTGAGAAAGACTAATTAAGTCGGTTCGAATGGGTGATATTTTAAAATTAAAATTCAAGATCGTAAAAACACACTGATATCTGAACTTGCCAAGAAACTGCGTCTGTGCCTTGGGTGCTAACTGAATAATCTAATAATATATTTCTCTCAAATTAAAGCCATTAAAGAATAACCTGAACAAAAGCTTTACATTATTTCTGAAATAATTAATAATTCATGAGCAAAACAAAAAGGAAACCAGCACCGCGTATCGGCGTTGTTTTGATAGCATGTCATAAAGTCACTCAAAGCTATCGCCTTACATTTCTTTTTAAATAACTATTATTCAGTGTAAATTTTAACTTCCAAAAATTGTAAATCATATGCATATTTCAACCTCCACAAAATGCAAAGTCCGTGTGACAGATAACATAGCAAATTCGAAAGCTATTTATTACTGACGCGTATAAAACACCACAATGTGACAATGTATATTAAAAACTCGGCTAACGCCTCGTTTTTCAACACACTTTTCAGTATTTTACACACTTCTACATCTATATGTGTTAAGTCGGTAAAATCCTTTCGAACATCACACCAACTATTTATAACTATACCTATTCTAAAAATCTATATTTACAACAATGTTTACTGTTATTAAAAATAAGTGCTTTTAAATTGTTTCTAAACTGGAGGAGATTCTCTGAGCTCACAATTTTTTCGGCACTTTTACAAATATTTCGAATATCTTAACTAGGGGAGGCGAGCGGATATTATTATTTTTAGCAGGCGTATAATTATTCAGCCATTCTCCTCCACCTGATTAATTATCCATTATCATGGGTAATAATGGTGACTAGTAGTGGTAAGAGGTATGGATAGTCAGGGGATGTCATTTGACTCATAATTGCGTGTGTAAGGCTCTGCAGAGGGAGAGTGCAATCTTGATTAAAAATACTGCCAACATTCAATCAATGTAATAGTAATATTAATGCAATAAACTTTGTAGCGCATATACCATAAATCCTTATAAAGCAACTCCTGATAAATAACCCCCTCACTAATAAAGCTCCCCCTTATTCCATAGATATCTTATATACACTAGATAGCGCATCGATCTCTTTTAGTAAAATTGAAGCCAAGAATATTCCAGCGGTTATCCCCATTTGAATAGATAGCGGTCATGTTGAAGTTTCTCACTCGCTAATAAACGCTTAAAAAACAACAATAACTTTTATCTTTGAATAGTTTGAAAATGTATTTGGGATAGGTTTAACTTAATGTTTTTAAAAGTTCCCTGTTTAAGAAATAGAAAACATACGAGTCTTCTCATTTCATGGGAATATCCTGAGCAGTGGCGGAAATTCACTCTTTCCGGTGGGGGGTGGAGGGCAAAGCCTCCTAAATTTCCGACAAAACTTTCAAATTTCCGACGTACCCCCCTATTTACACTCGAAAAGACTGTTTTTAGCCCTCTTTTAGGTCAAAATTTCCGAAAATTCGTCAATTTTCCGTGAAGGTGGGGGCGGCCGCCCCCTGCCCCACCAAGATATCCGTCACTGATCCTGAGTCTGAAATCACGGCTTCCATTTTTGAATTGCAGAATAATTAGATGTGCTATCTAGTGTATATAAGATATCTATGCCTTATTCAGATGAAGAAATTTATTAACCCTTCTCTATTGTAAACTTCCCTATATTTAAGCCCCCACTCTGGCCTTCCGCCCTTCATGTTAATTTACTGAGTTTCTTACAGACGGCAAAAACAGTCCCCTAACTGCTCCCTCTCCGTATTAAGTCCTACATCTTTCTAATAACTCCACGCTTTCCACGCAATAAGTCTCTTCCTCAACGTCGCAATTTATTTTGAAATTGGATTCTTGATTTAGGAAATTGTGAAACGCCAATAGACGTTGCTTTCTTAATGGACTCTTCTGGCAGTCTTGGTAGAAGTAATTACAACAGGTTAAAGGAAACGGTTTACAACATGGGAACGTATTTTGGAGTCTCACCAATGGGTTCACACGCGTCAATCATCTTGTACAGTGATTATTATGAAATAGCGTCGAAATTTGACCAATTTATGACGATTGGACAATTCCGAACAACTGTCCTTCGCCTCAAATATTTGTCACAGCGTTCGCGCATGGATGCAAGTCTCACTGCTGCGCAAAGCCAAATTTTCACACGCAAAGGAAACACCCGAGATTTTCTCCCAAAAGTCGCTATTCTTTTCACGGATGGTAAACAATCAAGATTTCGAGATCGCGTACCACTTCCAGAAGCGGCCCGGAAATTGAGGGAAAATGGTGTCAATATCTTTGTGATTGGTATTGGAAGTGGACCGAGTAAGAGCGAGTTGGAGAGCATGGTCGTCGACAGAGAAAATCATATTTACAGAAGTCAGAACTTCCGAGACTTGAAGGACCAAAGTGAAGCCGTTGCTGGCAAAATTTGTGAATTATTTGGCGGTAGGTCACCTTTGTGGAATATACAGGATCAGACTCTACTTGTAAAAATAGCATTTAAATTTAATATTCAGAGTGCGTTACAATACTCTCATGCCGCCACAAATTGATTAGGGACACGCGGCTGTGATCGTTACCGTGCCATTCCCGTGTTACGTTAAGGTAAAGTGCGTTTTGATTCAAACGTTGCTGAAGTTTTTGTTGCATTCATACATGTTCTGTGGTTGAATGAATTATTGAATTATTGAATCCTAACTAAGATTAAATCATTGAAATATAATACTGAAACACTGAATTTGAATCCTAAATTGAATCCTAAATTGTATAATCGAATCCTTTGACTAAATCATTGAATCCTAAGTCACTGGCTTGTGCAGGAATAGTTTTTTTGTCACATTGGCTATAGAGCCTCGTTTTCGTGATTGCAAACGTTGGACTCCAAATGCTCTATGGCCAAACTGACATACTTTCCGGAAGGGTGCATGTATCCATGACTCACTTTTGTAATGCGCATTTAATAATTGTATGCTGTATAAATGCGCAATATAAATACTGTTTTTAATTATTTTAAGGTATAAAAGCCAAATTAAATTAAGGAATTTGAATAAATTTTTTTTTCATTTTAGCAAGGAAACGTGATGTGTCTCCCAATCCTGTTGACATTGGATTTTTGCTTCATGGCGCCGACAGTCTTTCTAAAAAAGATCGAAACAAGGCAAAACAATTTATCTCTTCCGTGGCAACCACTCTTGGGATAGAAGTGCCTAACTCTCGCGCTGCGTTATTGCAATACAACGAAGGTGTCGGATCAGTTTTTACATTCAGCAAATACACAGATCTGACAAATTTCTACGATAATTTACACCGTTTGCCGGTCTCCACAGGGAAGAACCAAATCGACGTGGCGATCCGCGAAGCCAGCAAGCAGATATTTTCTTCTGAATCACGATTGGCAGTTTCACGGGTGGCAGTGTTACTAACTTTCGGGAAACCTCTTAATATACAGCAGGCACAAATTGCAGTAATTCAGTTGCGTTCAAAGGGAGTGAAGTTGTTCGTTGTTCATGTTGGATCAGCGAGGGAAATGACATCATTGCGCAAGCTCGTCAGTAATAAACATAATCTTTTTCATGCAAATACAATTGATGATCTCATGGATCTCGTCATACCACTCCATGACAAAATTGTTAATGAATCAGGTAGTTATCGGCAAATTTCTAATGTTTTTTTAGTTCTATACTCAACAACAGCGACGACGACGACGACGACGACGACGACGACGACGACGACGACGACGACGACGACGACGACGACGACAACAACAACAACAACAACAACAACAACAACAACAACAACAACAACAACAACAACAACAACAACAACAACAACAACAACAACAACAACAACAACAACAACAACAACAACAACAACAACAACAACAACAACAACAACAAAAGGCGACAGAAACCAAAATAAATGACGTAATTTCTGCTCATTTTTAGTGCCGACAGCCAAGGAACTTTCCTCCGTGCCTGCCTCTTATTCGACCATACGCGTCAAATGGATTCCAGCTTTCGACCCAAATGAAGTAATTTCTGGCTACGAAGTGCAATGGACCGTTATAGAGGACGACAAGGGACTGCATATTATTAACAGTCCATTGCAATCATCGGGAGTTCTTCCAGCTGACGTCAGAGGATATGAGATCAGCGGTTTAAGTATGTATTCATTTAGGCCTGTTTTTTACTACAAGGCAAATGGTTTCAAGTGTAGACATAAAATAATCAAACCCGGGTCTTTCTTATGTACCATTCTCATTGCGAAATAATAAATTAGCAAAAGATATAGGCCTCAATGCGCCTCTGCCATATTTCTCCTCGAAATATGTGATAATAAAATCCACTTTAGAAAAAAATGTGGTGTGCCATTATTGGCATGGTGTCAGTATAGAAAAATATAAATTATAATGATTATTTCATCTAAGTTTATTCTAGCACCTTAATTGTTAAAGGTGATCTACAGTCCGATCTGCGCATGTGCACAAATGAGCCCATTTTTATGATACAAACAGTTTAACTATGTTTTGATTTCTTGAAAAGCCTGATTGTTGTTTCTTGATCATTTATTATACTCTAGAAGCTTGAAAATATAAATAGTTGTCGAGTAAAGCTCAATATTTTGGACGCAAAAATGTAAACAAAGGCTTTGTTTACATACGGACTGTAGATCACCTTTAACTTAAACAATTAGTTACAGTAGATTTAATTAATGTAACACGGTGATTATAATTATAACTTACCATTTTCTCTCATCCTACTTTCAATAACATCTAGCACCATACACTCTTTACAAGATCCATCTCATACCACAATGGCAAGCAGGAGTACGTGGTGATATTCCAGATACCCAGAGTAGGACATTGGAAGGTAAGTTTATGTATTCCAATCAGGAGTTCAGCTAAATTCAAGTGTCATTCGAGACATTTAGTCCATTCTTTAGTAAGTAAGTATAAGGAAGTTCATTGTGTTTAAAGGTAACCTACAAGCATTAACCATCAACTGTATTAAAGTTTGGTGGGACTGAAATAGGCCTAAGAACACTTTGCATAACAATATCTGGAGGACAAGAAAACTGCTGTGCTTGTTCACAAATCCCACAGCACTCCATACTCTCTAGCCTTTTATTGTTCGTATCTCTGGAAATTACCCACCCATTCAAACAATTTTCCCTTCACCCCTTGAGTGGAAAAATCATCTGGGATAGTATGGCACTAATAAAAAGAGAACGGATGGGCTAATAGACAGGTCAATGCTCAACATTATGCAACAAAATGCACATTTGACAGAGTAAGGTAACAAAGCATGGTTCATTCGGGCACTTTGCGAGGAATAACTAGTATTAACGGAATTTGCCGTAGCAATTTTCGTTTTGTCATTGTCATTATTAGTTCTTCATAAGTGCTGTTGGAAATTAAAGATCACGTTTCGTTAAAGACACAGATTGGGAATGACATACTAATGCATTAGCTGAGCTGAAACACATAACACAGATTAACACTAGTTTGCAAGAAATGAAGTTTGTGTAATCCTTTCATTCTCCTCCCATGAATATATTTTTGATGATCTCATGAAAATACCCATGCATTTCCTTTATCTAGACATTGACGAATGTTTGACTGATCCATGTGATGTAAATGCGAAGTGTACAAATACAAAGAGATCATTCAGCTGTAAATGTAATATTGGATATTCTGGAGATGGATTTTCTTGCACTGGTAAAAGCAATTACGTAATGTAAAAACTTTTTGTAAGGCAATTGTCTTTCGCAGATTTACCTTGTCAAACTATAGGCACGTTGCTGTTTCGATTTGTGCCTTTCAGGCGTGCATGATAATTAACAATTATTGGATGAGGTTTTTGTGATATGCGGAATTATCAAGGTCGAGGTAAGCGTTATCAGCCGAGCCGAAGGCGAGGCTGATAACGCTTACCGAGACCTTGATAATTTTGCATATCGCAAAAACCGAATTCAATAATTGTTTTATTATACATTTGAAGAATAATAAACATTAGTATTTTAATACTATGTTTATTATTCTTCAAATATATAATAAAACAATTATTGAATTCGGTTTTTGCGATATGCAAAATTATCAAGGTCTCGGTAAGCGTTATATTCAATATGATTTCTGGCAAAGCTGTTCAAGTAAGGGGCGGACCATTAGAAATCCCGGGAGGGGGGTGAAAATTCCCCCAAAAAAATTCGTGCAAAGAAAAATGCCTGGAAAAAAATTCGTGCAGCCATTACGTCAGAGAAAAAAAATTCGTGCAAGCAAACAGCAAAGTACAAGTAGTCTTGAAAAAAAATTCGTGCAGAGGTTAAATGCATTAAAAAAAATTCCTGCAGAGACATGAGACTGAAAAAAAAATTCGTGCCGCAAAAATTTTATACCCCCCCTCCCGGGATTTCTAATGGTCCGCCCCTAAAACGTTTCTGTAAACAAGTCTCCGGAAGTCCAACAGTTAAATTAATTACAAATATAAAAGAAACATATTATCGTTAAGATGTTAACGTATTAAAATATTTACTTGTTAAAGTAAACATTACAATTATGAAATGTACATTCATTCGAAAATTGAAATGTACACTCATTTGAAATGTACACTCATTCAATTTCACGCAACCTACACAAAATTCAGTTATCTGCTAGCAGATAACTGAGTTACCTGCTAGCAGATAACTGAATTTTGTGTAGGTTGCGTGATTTAACTGTAAGCTCCTAGCCAATCAAATTGCTTTTACCAACTACAATGTATAATAAAAGTATTTATTAATTCGGTACAACACTTTGGTTATCATCTCGACGGGAAAATATGCACAAATAAATTTGCAGATTAGCGGTGTTTTACAATATATTAATGTACTTTATTGCACATTATCCGGCCATTGCACATTATGGTCCATAAAGGAAAAACATGTCAAAATTTGAAGGGAGGTTTACAAAGTTTTCGAGATATTCGTGAATGACGGTTACAGAAAAAGTTATTTGTAGAATTTCTTAAAATTTGGATATGTTGTACCACTCGTCTTGTATAACAAAACATAAGCATGATCTGCGCATGCGTGTAAATTGTAGCGTGTGATTTTAATATAGTGATTTCAAGTTTTTGGCTTACTTACAATACATACGAAAACAGATATTTCTGACTTGTTTGACATGAAAATAAAATATAATCTTGAAAATACTAATAATAAAACACTATTACGCGCATTGTATTAAATCCAGTGTGTCTTTACATTTGTTTTTGTTGTTAAAATCGGTGTGAAAACTTTTCAAAACATCGAACTACAAGTTTAACTTTTCATATAAAACAACTCATAACTTTTTTATTTGATTTAGCAGACAAAAAGATACCTGTGAATTGAATTGAATTGAATTGATTGACAGGACTTACATAAGTTTCGGCGAAACTTATTGAAGAAAAATTCAAAAGGTTGCATCGAATCAATCTTTCTCCAGTGAATTTGATTTTGTCATCGCATTACAAATACGCTCTGATCTTTTCCAGTCAGAACTGAGAACCAGGCTAGACCCACCAAATTATTGTAGCATCTCTGAAATATGGGGCACTGCCTGAATGAGGCGCATTTCAGTTGTATGCGGTGAAACATCAAAACCATGGTTTTACATTACCGTAAAGATGCATTTTGCATGCATCATTCGTCAACCACATATAATCCTAGTCTATCGTGAAATGTAGTTTTGGAATATAAATAACCGGAAGTTTTCTCTTTTAACAAAATTTAGATGATAATGAATGTAGAGGATCGCCTTGTGATGCAAATGGTATATGTACCAACACTATTGGATCTTTTAAATGCGCATGTGACAAGGGTTATTCTGGAGACGGATTTTCTTGTATTGGTAAGACATCATTGCACTGGCCGATTCGAATAATGGGTCAATTTTCATATCAAACCTTCAATTTTAAATACAATCTTAATCTCAATCCTAATTCTAATGTGACCCAATCCTTGAATTTTCCGCCACAAGTGAAAATTACCTCATAACCTGTTCATGAAGTCAAGTACCAAAAGATCTTTCAAGACACCCAGTATGTAATTGTGACAACAGTTGTTAGCTTTTTTAGTGGATTCGTGGATTCTGACTGAACAAATTTTTCAGTTCCATTCATTGCTCCCAACAGTTCTAACATAGGGATGGACTAATTACCATTTCTATCATATCCTGCTGAAATTTCAGCGCATGAAAAAAGCACTACCGTCCAAGGAATTTATCCAACGTGTAACTGAATCAGATTGGATATTAAACGGACGTTGATTCTCATAAGAATCGAATGAATAGTATTATCTTCACGTTTAACGAAACAATTAATGGCGCATCTTTCTCTTTTTTATCGTTGTTGTGAAAACTTCATCAAGGAATGAAAAAATGTATAGCATACTTTTTTTCAATTTTAGACATCAATGAATGCCTAGGAAATCCATGTGACGTGAATGCAAAATGTGACAATTCACCTGGATCGTTTTCGTGTACTTGCAACATAGGTTACTCAGGGGATGGTTTTGCCTGCAATGGTAAGTGCATTTTCTAAAAAAGGTGAACAATCTTGTGGCAAATAAATTGTATATTTGTATACAGGTATTTCAATCAAAGTTGTGCCAAACAATACACAATAGTCAGATGTACAATCCGACCGCGAGGAGTAAAATGGTAATGAGATGTTTTTTAGGGTAAAATGTATTATAAATCCAGTCCTGGTGAGGTACGCAAGTGGTGTGCATTCATATTTACATACAAACAACTACTTGATACAGCTGAAATCAATTGCAAGCTTGACTATATCAAATGAGAGTGGAAATAATAGGAGTGGAAGTGAAAGAAGCAGTTTTTTACTTACAAATATCAACCATTTTTTTCCGCTTTAATTTGCATGGGAATTGCTAAAACAAAACTGAAGCATCTAAAGTTATAGATTTCTTTATACGACACCATTTAGCGAACAACTAATAAAAACTATTTAATTAGGAATACCCAACAGGTTAGCCCTTGAATTGTACATTTGAATATTAAATACTTGGCAACCTTAATTGAAATAGCTGTATTTTCTGGGCTGTTTTAATCAGCGTGACAGAGCGGTAGGTGGTGGTCAACTTAGAAGAGTTCGCACTGATAGGAGTATAGGCACATGAAACTGCGTTTCTCAATTATCACAAATTTATTTTTCTCCAAATGCAATAGTCAAGACTACAAAATATAATATAAAAATAATCATTCTTCATGATAACTAACGGTTGATCACCATCTGCTGAACGATAGAGCTTACTGCTGAAAGACACCTATATCAATAGTGACTGGCGACAATGTTGGAAGAAATGTTCACCAACACTTCGCGAAATATGGGGGGGGGGGAGATTTTGGTTACTAATATATATATGAGCACCATTCGTTGGTGTAACCATAGAGATTATAAATAACACTAGAGGAGGCATCGAGGGTGAAATTTGGGAGCGCGGTAATGGGGGGCAAATTGAAATCCAGAATGACCGCCACACAATTGTTGGTTTACACAATTGTTCTGGTTAAACCACAAAAATTTAAAAACAAGAGTAACAAAACTGGGTATTTTATATGTTTTGCCTGTCATTACTACAAAAATTCCCCCCAAATTTTGAATTTAAACGATTAATTCCTGTTGACAAGATCACAATTGCTGACGTCAGCATTATTTTGGAGCGCTCTCAAAAATGTGTTATGGACAAAATTGAGGTAAAAATGCTTGGTAAAAATCAAAACGGGACTACTTAACTGCCATAAACAAGAATTCCAAGATTTTGGCTCAAATTCGCTCTTATTTTAGCATTTTAATTTTTTGCCCCCCAATAGCCGCGTTCTCTTTCTTTGACTGAACAAAGATTACGATGCCTCCTCTAGCGTTATTTATAATCTCTATGGGTGTAATACCTCTCCATTCATCATAGATTCGGTTAATGTCTGCTAGACGCGGCAAATGTCTGCTAGAATCGGCAAATTGTTTTCGGAAGAATGGGAAAATTTTTTCGTGTTGGTTTGAGTGGCTCGGAATTAAAAATTATGATATGTAGCCATGTAGGGAATTGTATTTTCGGAAAAATTATGATATGTCTGAAAAACTTTTGCATGTACGGAAAAATTTTGATATCTAAAATTTTTGTTTGTCCGAAAATGTTTTGTATGTCCGGAATTTTTTTTGCAAAACTTGGCAAAATTAACTCCCCCCCCCCCCCATTGAAAGAGGTCTAGCGACGCCCCTGGCACCATTTGTTGCTGGGGATCTTAAATAATTCTTTACTTTAACAATACTTTTTTGCCGGAAATGTCATACAATATATGGTAGAAAATTATTGTCACAGCTTTAATTGTTACACAGTTATCCAGCTATCAGTCGAAGGCTTTCGAAATAATTGGGCGGGGGGGGGACATACAATTGTCTGCCACTGTTTATTGCAGCATGATTGCATGAAAAGCTGAATACTATATACAGTGACGTTGCCAGCAGAGGGGGAGGGGGAGAGACTCGGGGCAAAATATTGGAGCCCTTTGGAAAAATTCTGACCATAAATTCTGTATTTCTTGTAATGTAAATTTTATATCTTTCTATGTTTTAAAGCTCTGGATTTGTTTGTGATTAAGTGGAGTTGTTAATTATGTATTAACTGGTTATTTAAAGTCACCAAAACACATTAAAATAGCCCCCAAAATGATGAAATGCCACTTTACCGAGTCCAGTCTATTGTATACATATTATGTATGGATAGTGTGGGAATCCAAATAAATTTTCACATAATAAACAAACTTCAGTTGAACTAGCGCAAGGTACCTCCTGGAAACCACATGGTGCAATCACAGTGACGTAACCTTGACTAGAAATCCTGGCTACGTCACTGTGATTGCACCACTTCCACTGAAAACTATTATTTGTGTTTACGAGTATATGATTTTAAATTAATAAAGTTTGCCATTCGTCGTTAAAATCGAAAAGGGAACATTATTAATAGGATTGATTTATCATGTATTAACCAGTTTGCACTACAAAATTAAATTCTTGACTCAAAAATGTGGGTAGAATCAGGGTAAAATAATTCACCCACCAAGTGACTCAAAATTTTGAGTACAGTTACTCAAATTTGATTAGCAAATTTACTCGGCAATTTTTTCAGTAAAGTTTTAAAATTTACTCAATCTTTTGAGTAATTAAAGATTTACTTTACTAAATAAATGAGTAAATTTGAATAATTTTACTCAAAATTTGGCTCACTGCAGTGGGTGCATTGTTTTACTTACGTTTTTGAGTCAAAATACTCAGGGAGTTTTTGCAATGTGTACATCATCAAACTTACGATCAGGTGCTGATATGCCTTTTACAATAATCAGAATATTAATATGGCCTTCATTTAGTGGTGTTCAAATTAAGATGTAAGAATATAGAAATTAACTTTAAAAATGTGTCGATAAACCTTTATCCATTTCTTAACATCAACAATGCTTCTATAGAAATGTCAACGAGACCATAAGAAACAGAGTGCAAAAGTTCAAACCAAAAAGACCACATTTCTGTTTAAAAATAAAAAATTTCCGAAAGGATTAATTTAGGCAAAGCAAATGCATTCCAGCGTTAGCGCATTCCTCTATAAAGGTTTTTTGCAACGAAAAGAACTTTGCAGTTTTTACGTACGCCATTTTTCAAAAAGGCTGTACTCCATTAAGTCCATTTGAGAACTAAAACTATTTATACTGCCGTCTGAAAATTGAAACTCAATGTTTTCGTACAAGACGCATGATTCATTTATTCATTACATTTACGAAAACTCCGCACCTGTATTATTCCAGACATTGACGAGTGCCAGGGCAGTCCATGTGATGTAAATGGTAAATGTTCCAACAATCCAGGATCATTTCAATGTGAATGTAACATTGGATATTCTGGAAATGGATTTACATGCACAGGTATTGAATGATTTCAATTGCTTCGTTGCAATAGTTGTGGTGAAATTTACGATTCAAATGATCAAATCTAGTCTTTATAACATAATATTTTGAATGGACTAGTGTTAACGATAATTAACAACAGTATAAATATTCACAATGTCAAGTATGTCACACATGTTTGCTTGTAAACATTTATCGATTAGAAGTTAAAATTCAATGATAAAAAGGATTAAAACGACAAAAACAGTACCTACTGTACCATATATACCTGCATGTGTGAATACCGTATATCCTGTTGTACTGTTGTACAGTTGCAGGAATATTACAAATCGCAATCCAACTCCCTTTGATCTCTATAATATATAATGGATAAACTCTTGTTCATACCTCTGAAATATTTCACAAATAGCCAATGTCTTTCCGAAACAAACAAAGCAGCACAAAGCAAACAAAGCACAATCATGAACAACACTGAACAAACATGAATATTGTTACCATAATTTGCAGGTAAAAGAAAAAATGAAACAAATCAATAAAAGAATGAATGCATTATTTGAAATGTCGAATTTAAAAACATGACTTTTCCAGCATTTCTATCGTACTTGATGTCTATTACAACAATGATATTATTAGAAAAGCATATTTTTTAAATTTCATTCTATGCCCGTCATATACCTGTATTCCAGACATTGACGAGTGCCAGGGCAGTCCATGCGATGTAAATGGTAAATGTTCCAACAATCCCGGGTCGTTTGAATGTGAATGTAATATTGGGTATTCTGGAAATGGATTTTCTTGTACAGGTACTTTTAAAACGGCCATCTTTCTCAGTGTTACAAACATTTTATATGGTAATACATGAACACATGTAATTCAAAACATGCATACCCAATCAGGGATTATTTTATTTAAAGAAGTTTATATATATCATGCAGATAGCGATGGAGTGCTGAGTAGGTTTCCAGATTATAAGTTATTCCATGTTGTACTGGGTCACCTAAAAATTGGCTTTCTTACCAATTTTAAAAATTAAGTATTGTCTTCTTTTGGTATTTACTAATGTAAACAAACGCTTTGTTTACATACTGAATTTTTAACACTCTTCTGGTTCGCTATGCTTGTAAATAAATGCAGACTAGAGGTTCAATTCAAGAAAATTCAAAAGATACGAAATATTAATAACATTGGTCGGGTTCCGACCATTGGAATGTAAGCCTGCGCAGAACGTATGCGCAAAACGGACTTTACATGGTCTTTAAACATAATTTGTGATAAGTGATGCAATCCTTTCACGAGTTCACATCACCTATTTTTAAACTATATTAAAGAAAATCATTACTGCACAAAATTCCATTTATCACTCCACAAATTCCATTTATCACTGCAAAAATCCCATTTATCACTGCAAAAATCCCGTTCAGTCACTGCACAAATTGGTTGTCACTGCAGATTATAATAATAAAACATTTTAGGCCTATATGAAAAGTTTTTAAGTGATATATCTGACGATGATTTGGAATACGATGTTTCTTCAATGGTACTAATAGTTTGAATTGGAGGCTTAAAGCACCTGATCGACGGATGATGTTATGTTTGATATGAACAAGTTGCCGACAAACTTTGACAATCTAATTTTAAGCCGGCAATATATGAGCAGAATCTAAGAACACAACATGACATCGCCAATATTAAGTATATTAATTCTAGGCCTGCAACAACTTAGGTTATATGTTTTTTTTACTCGAGTATATTGGTACACAATACGTGTCACATCGTTTACCATCCAAATCACGGACATTTTCTTATGTCAGAGTTTAATTAATATGCAATGAGAAAATGCACTTCTCGTATATATTTTAATTAAAATTAGACATTGATGAGTGCCTGGGCAGTCCATGTGATGTAAATGGTGAATGTTCCAATAATCCAGGATCGTTCGAATGTGAATGTAACATTGGGTATTCTGGGAATGGATTTACTTGTACAGGTATTGAATGATTTCAATTGCTTCGTTGCTAAGGGAATATATCCTGCTATAGGAATATCACAAATTGCAAATCCAAGTCACTTTCTATCTCTAGTGCATGGGTGTTTTTTTGTCATACTATTACATATATTTCACAACACTTATCTTACGGCATAAACTATAATTTATCGCTTCCTTTATTTAACACTATATCTGGGGGATATCTTGTCACGATGAGCTCTGTTTTCTGTGCATGTTCTTTACGCAATAAACGAGTCAGACACCACTTGGAATAATTATGGCAATGTGCGTATTGCATAACGCACATGCCGGTTTATTAATTTTGTAATCAATGACATAAGTTTAACATAACAAATTATTAACCAAAGTAATTCATTAACAGTTAGCACAGAAAAGGTGGGGGTAATAAAAACGCCCACAACTAACAGTAACAACTATAATAACAAATATACAAGTAGAATAGTCTTGCGTTCGGAAAAACGGGGAGGAGGGTGGGGAAAAACTTGACTTTAAAATACAGACGACTTTGCGCTACCAAAGCGAAGAGCAGAATGAACCAGATGCGCATTCTGCTATAGATATGTCTCTCCCTTCCGTTTTCCATGCACGCATTACATTCATGTGATCAGAAAATTACGGGGAAAATACCCATGTGTCCCATGTCAAGTTTGTCTATTTATATATCCTAAGCTCAGGAAGCAATAAAATCTTCATTGGTATGCCAATAATTACTATAATTGAAGATTACACTGATTACGTGTACTTCAAGAAAATGGCAGGCACCACAGAATATGCCAATGTCTTTCCGAAACAATTAAAACAAGGTATGCATGGCAAAACGCAAACAAAACACAAGCATTAACAATTAAGACTAAACAAAGTTTAACATGTCGAATATTGTTACCAAAATTTGCAGATAAAAGAAAAATGAAACAAATCAATAAAAGAATAATCGATTGCATTATTCAAATGTCGAATTAGAAAAGATGAATTTTCCGGCGTTTCTACGTACTGTATTTTTTGTCAATTATACAACAATGATCATAGGCGTACCGGGCGGGGGGGCGGGGGGGGGGGCGGTAGCCCCCCCAGTTTTTTGGGCAGTCGGGCAATATTCGATGAACAGTCGGGCAATTTCGGTTTGCAATAAAAAAAAATGGGACAAATTCTGTCAATTCTGTCTAAAATTAAGTCAATTTTTGGCAAATTTTGTGATTTTTCGAAAATTTGTGTTATGTTCCTAATTTTTTCCTTCCGGTACGCCCATGACAATGATATATTATTAAGAGTATATTTAAATTTCATTATATCCCCATCATGTATTCCAGACATTGACGAGTGCCAGGGCAGTCCATGCGATGTAAATGGTAAATGTTCCAACAATCCCGGGTCGTTTGAATGTGAATGTAACATTGGATATTCTGGAAATGGATTTTCTTGTACAGGTACTTTTGAAACGGCCATCTTTCTCAGTGTTACAAACATTTTAGATGGTAATATGTGAACACTTGTAACTATTCAAGACACATGCATGCATATATACAATTAATTAAAACATTTGATGTGAAACGTTTTTCAAGTATAATGTCTCTGAGATTGAGAATGATTTGGAAAACGATTTATGGTATTTGAACTTAAATGGTTTTGAACTGGAGGCTTAGAGCACCTGATCGACGGATGATATGTTATTTGAACTATGCTGTTTGATATAAACAAGTTGCCGATAAGCTTTGACAATCTAATTTTAAGCTGGCAATATATGAACACAATATGCTGATATCGCCAAATTGAAATAAGTATACTCTAGGTCTGTAACAACTTAATCGTTTCTTTGTAGTGGAAAATAAGACAATGATATTTTGATATTATGCCGGAGAGATTTTCTCATAGCATATTAAACTGTGACATAAGAAAACATCTGTGATTTGCATGGTAAACGATGTGACACATATTTTGTACCAATAATCCAATATACCCGAGTAAAAAACGCACAACTTAACAAAACTAAATTGAACTAAAATTTAGACATTGACGAGTGCCAGGGCAGTCCATGTGATGCAAATGGTAAATGTTCCAACAATCCAGGATCATTCGAATGTGAATGTAACATTGGATATTCTGGAAATGGATTTACATGTACAGGTAGCGTTTTCATTTGCTTTTTGGCATGAGCAAACTTTCATCAAATTTTTGCCCAAAGATCTTGTAATATATGGCGATCCTAATAGTCAGATTGTGTTTAAAATCATCAAAAATCACCAAGAATGGTATTTCAATTAATGCAGACTAGAAGAAGACTGAAATTCGGCAGCAACAAAACGGTCAGCATATACTGGCAAGCTAAATCGTATCCCTAATATTATACATGTTTTTCTTTACACTAACTACAGGGTGTCCCAAAAAAAATGCCCCCTGTCATATTTGGTCGTATTACTTCGCTATAATTAATCAAAGGTTCAATTTTTTTGCAGTGAGTTGAAAAACAATCATATTATATTAATCGTAGTATTTATCTCACCAAAAAACTTAACCGTTCGGCTTCTAGAGATACTTAAGGTGACGACACCAATTTTGCAACCCGTCCAAATTACAGAAATTAGGTTAAAAATAATGCAAACTTTACCGAAGGATTGCTAAAGTTTCTACCCACCTTTTTGATCAAAAACAAAATGTTTTCATCTCTGTTATTAAACTTTTGTTTCTTGTAGAAATTAATAAAAAAAAGACAAAAAATCCCTGGCAAATTGACAAAGGCAAAGATGAGGTTGGGAAAATGCCTTAAATTTGCTGTTTTCCGTTCAATTTGTTCCATGAAAGAGCAAATGTTGGGATTTCGGCACTAGTCTTTCCCCTTTTCTGGGGATTGCTTCATTATTTTTACAGAAAATTAATTTGCGATTTTGGCTACAACTAATTACAAGTTTTAGAAAAGATATGTAGCCATTTACCATTAAAATATTTTATGACGTTCCGTAATATGTTTAAACATAATATCCTCAATTTGGACAAGTGGCAATATTGGTGTCACCACCTTAAGTAACTCTAGAAGGCGAACGGTTAAATATTTTGGTGCGAAAAATGCAACGATTAACGTAATATGTTCATTGATAAAGAAAAATGAAAACATTTGAATATTCGATTACAGGTAACGATGTAGTACCACAAAATATGATAGGGGGCATTTTTTTGGGGACACCCTGTATATGTACAATATATGAAATTTCGCTTTAGATAACAACGAATGTCTGAGAGGCCCATGTGACGACAATGCTGTGTGTGGAAATACAGATGGATCGTATTCATGTACTTGTAGAAAAGGATACTCTGGAAATGGATTCTTCTGCGCAGGTAATTTAAGCTCGGCCTAACGGTTATACGTCATGGTACTACAGTGGTAGTCAAAGGTCAACTACAGTTTTCGATAACAGTAGATGGTATATTCAAAATGACAGCCGGAAAATTAATTAAAATAAATAAATGCAATAATGAATCACTGTCGAAGTATTCCACGATCTTTTTTCGATTTTCTCTTAAAATAGTTTTCGAATTTCTCTTAAAATGGTAACAATGAAGTTCTAGAAAGCATATTTCAACTGACAGCCAGCGATTTTCTATTTTACCAACCCTGGACATTCTTAACTGATACAAATCTATTGAATTTAATTTGTTCAATTGATACATCATACATGTGTCATTTATGTTGTTATTTTCTCGTGGGCTTTCCATATCTCTAAACATATAACAATGGTGCAATCCATTGTCTATTCATCGTTTTGAAATCCACTGTTCTTCCTGCCATCCAGTCAGTTTCTCATTTTATCTTTGTTTTAAAGACAACAACGAGTGCGTTAATAGACCGTGTGATGGGAACGCGAAATGTAAAAACTCACCTGGATCATTCTCATGTGCCTGCAATGTTGGATATTCAGGAGATGGGTTTGCTTGTGAAGGTAGGAGATAAATTGGATTTGTATACAACTATAATCATGGTTGTACCAATTGGCCTAGCCTATTGTGTTACATCCAATTCAAGGGCGGATTTAAATCTTTTTCTCGGAGGGGGGGGTGCAAACAATTCAGGGGTGTGGTGGTGATCATGTGCAGGGACGGATGCCCCCCCCCGGAAAAAAATAATATTTAGGGCTCTGAAACAGCATTTCCTGCGTTCTGGCATCACTTTTAAAATTAATTTATCAAGTGAGCTCAAACAATGAATTGAACCTTTTCCGAAGCGTATTAGCTAGTGCCTGGTGTTAAAAATATAGGATCCACTAATTGCTGACACATCGATTTAGATCTACACGCTTTCAATCCAACTCTAACGACGAACTAAAAACCAAACTGCAAGAGCGTGAAAGCTTCGCAATCATTTCCTGATCTCAATCGCCAAAGCAATGATCAGTGGGTATAAATACGCTCGGTAGTCCATAATCAAATTTCAATAATAGATTAGACAACATCAAGTTTATGAAACAGAATAGTCTTTAAATTAGTTATATACATGGAAGGTTATAGATTTTGCGCACCCCCCTCCCCCCCAGAAAATCCGTCCTTGATCCAATCAGCCTTTCTCACGCCATTCAACAAGGCTAGATTCCTGGAAGTTTGATTTTATTTTTGGTAACCTATATAAAGCCTCTGAGTTTTACAGGATTAACCACATCTTTAAGGAATTACTTAATCTTCTGTTCTTCATTTTCTACCGTGTTATTGATTTCAATTAATTGAGTTATCTACCTTTCGCCACAAGTTGTAAACTCGACTGAATTTAAAAATATGAATTGCACTATTTTTCCCCAGTGATTAACGAGGTATCTTAATAAGAATATGTATCATCTTGGCGTTTTTTGAGGACAAAAATAAATGGCCGTAATAAAGAGGGAACCGTATTAACGAGATGGCTGGGTTCCACTGCACTATAAAATCATAATGACGAATTTATGATAAAGCCAAACACGTCTGAATCAGATCGTGTGACTGAATATTACATACTATGGAATTTGTGATTGCATCACTAATTAAATCCATAGTATATCCACACTATTCCATATTACAGTATCCATAGTATGGAAATTGCAATTAGTATGAAAATTGAATTGCCCTACTATTTCCATGGTATGAGGATTTTGAAAAACACGATTAAAGTATTCGGGATATATACATGTGTCAATCGGGGTGTAGGTAAAACATGGCCCTAGGCCATGGCCCAGTGTATGGCCCTACCCTTGGCCCACCTGTTTTTGTTTAATTTTGATGTGTAAATTATGTCAAAATTATTTTAACGTGTTGAGTTCATATACGTTTCATATATATTATAAAATATTGATTTGAGCTCATTTCTAAAATACGAAATAAATTTTGACCATGAGTCACCTAGCTGTCCGTTTTACGATTAGTACATAATATCATAATATGGACTATTACATAAAGTACGAACAACCAAACAACACATGATCACGTGAGAGAATCAATGTCGGCCGCATGGCGCACAACTGCATCGTTTCATGGGGTGAGTTTTTATCGTTTCTTGTAGCTTTTTGCTATCAATACGAGCAGATGCTTGTCTTGCAATTTAATGTTGAGAACTCTCTAACGTTTATAAACGTTTGAATTTTAGAAAATCGTGTTTAATTTAAAATAAAAAAATGAAGCAATCGAGGCGAGTTTGAAGAGGGGGGTAATGGGGGGGTACCGATCCTGAAGCACGAAAAATAATATGCAGCGATCTTGAAGCATGAAAAATAAAAGAACGAAGTCCTGAAGCACGTAAAATAAATTTATTACGAATCTGAAATGTAAAGTGAACATGAAATGTAAGCAACAATCATACTTAGAAGTCTTAATTAAAGGTGAATATAAACAGTCTGTACTAGGCGGTGTGTTCACCTATTTGTTTACAATAGACCTTTCCAAGGTTTCTACCGCCATATTGCAGGGGGTGCAAAAACATTGGGGCGAGCGCGCGGTCACCAATGGCGCCCATACTATTTCCTATTGAGTGAGTGAAAATTACCTTTTGACATTTTGTCCTTTTTCTCAAAAAATTTCTATACAAGCATATCCAATTTTTATTTTTAGATAATCGCTGGTTTTTTTCTGATATGTGGCCGAGATTTCTTGCTAATCGAAGGACAGGAAGTAATAAAAAACGGCGGCTTTTATTGTACAACTTGACCGAGTTTGAGCGATGATTTTTGTACAAATATACAAATATAAACAGTAATAATGGCGGACACCAAAGGACTTACACACTTAATGGACAAATATTCTTCCAAAGATTGGTTAAACAAACGAAATAACAAGAATCATCGCTCAAACGTCGGTCAAGTCAGTGTGCAACAAAAGCCGCCGTTTTTTATTACTTCCTGTCCTTCGATTAGCAAGAAATC